TTTTTCTGGTAGCCCCCATATAACGGTACACCCCAATTAACGGTATTTTGGGGATTTTAGACGGGTTCTTTAAACCGAATTCGCTGAAATTTGGTACAATGAGTTCTTATTGGGTACTTAATTTCTTCACTAAAACTTTTAAATATAGGCCCTTTTTTGGGTAGCCCCCATATAAGGGAACCCCCAATTTCGGGGTATTTTGGGGTTATTGAGCGAACTCGCTGTTATTTGGTATTTTTTAGTCGCTTATGGTAACAAATCTTCCTACCAAAAATTATGAATATTCGTCCCCTTTTATGGGGTAGTTCCCATATAACCCCCTTCTTATATTAAAATAGCTGATTAGTTCCGTGTGTAGGGGGTTGTCTCCATATAGGCGTATTCTATCATGGTATAGGGAATAGTCGTTACTCGAAATAGTCAGTTTTACCCTAAAAATTATGGAATTCTAAGAAGATTTAGCCAAAAAAAAAAACTCGAACCTGACGATAATGAAATATATCGGCCATCATTTAGGCATCTCCCCCATATAATTATACTTCCTGATGGAAAGACTTAAGACACAAGACAAACATATTGGGTTCGAAATTGACATATGTCGGTCTTTAATTAGGCATAGCCCTCATATAACTATAAACCCAAATATTCGATAATTCCTACACTATGTAAACTAACTTTGTAATCTAAATTGCAGTAGTTTGAGGATTGTTTATTCTACCATGCGTTATTAGTATCAGTCCACGTTTGGGGTTTTCATTAAAAATTGATGAAATTTGTATTTGGTGTATTTGTATTAAGTGTACATAATAGTTTACATAAACCGGTTTTAGAATAATCGGTATAGAATCACTTTTTGGTATGTTCCCTATATTTTCATTTCAAGTACCTGTCAGCATAACGCTTTGTTACTTGTTTAATATTGATCTTGTTGGACTTCAAATTATTGGACTTTTAATTAAAAAAATTTAAATGGCCATCACGCAGTGCATTTTTTTAATAAATATTTTATTCAAAGAATAGGACGAGATTAAAAAAAGTATTTTTTGGGTCCAACAAAGTAGAGACTTTTTAAAATTTTTGTAACTATGTACCAACAATTTATGGGTTTTTGTGTATATTTTTGTCTTATCAGCATTGCCGTGTGGCTTTCATTCCACTATTGATATAAATATTATATGTATGTACATATATTATAATTATTATTACCACAAATACACAACAAAGAAATTAACAATGACATTTTTCCGGAAATAGTGGTGAAACAAAAATTGTGACAATGTTTAAATGTTCTGATGATATTTTTTTCCGGCATAGATAGATGAGGTGGTATGAGGAAATTTTATTAATATAAACTTGAATAAGGATTGTCCATCATATCGTCGTTAATGCGGATATGCGAAGTGTGTATGTATGTTTGTGTTTAAATATAGGTAAAAAGTGGATAATAACATTATCGTCAAGACAACAACAAAAACTGTTTTTTTGGAAGGAACATTTCTTACGAGCTTTAAAATCGTTTTTCAATATCACAACAAAGTTAAGCATACGAATTTATATTTGTTTTTGTTTTCGTTGTAAAAAAACACGTTTGTTGTTAATATTGTGTGTTATTGGTTGTTTTGTTTTTTGAAGTTAACCCCACCAGATCGTGAAATATGTTCTACAGACATATGATGACGGTAGTTTTTAAGTCAAACTATGTACAGACAATGGACCGTTGTTGTGTGGCAAGCATTATTGCAAAAAAATATATATTATAATTATTTAGGTCAAGGTTATGTTGTTTACCACCAAAACGAGAATAAAACGCGAATTCCAAGAATCATCGTGCAGAACTTGATTTTTAAAAATGGGGAAGGGAATTTGATGGAACGATTTAAAATATAAGACAATTATCAAATCAAAATCAATATTAAATTATGTGGAAAAATTGGAAATTTATCAACGATGCAACAAAAATTTCTTATGGGGATTAAACCAGGTTTTGAATCTATTAACAACTCAGAAGGACACATTGCCATAAATACAATAGCTATATATTTCTGTTAGCGGCTATTACAGATTATTTTTATTTGTTGATTTGACATGCCTTCATTTAAATGGGACGAAGAATGCTATTGCAAAATATATCCTCAACCTTCCATCTCGAGTTCTCTGTATATTTTTATATCCTTCACCAGGATATAAAGGAAACGAGATCGATGACTTTTGACAATGTGCATAGACTCACTTTCTGTGTTTATTTATACATGTCCGTCCGTCCATGTGTTATTGTGAACAAGGTACAGATCGCATTTATGATCCGATTATGTCAAGGACGAACCCACTTGAAATTGGAGAAAATCGGATCAGATTTAGTTGTAGCTCCCATACAAATTTTCGTCCGATTTTAAGTAAATTTTGCACAACATACTGAATTAAGTCCAGTTTGATATCTGTGAAGTTTTGTTGAAATCGGTTCAGATTTAGTTATAGCTCACATATAAAGTTTAGTCCGATTTTATATCAATGGAGCGTCAAGCTTCCAAGGTTTGCCCGAGTGAGACAACATTTTGAACAGCATACTGAATTAGATCCAGATTGATGTATGAGAAATTTTGTTGAAATTGATTCAGATTTAGTTATAGCTCCCATATATAGTTTCGTCCGATTTTAGGTAAATGGTGCACCTATGTCCCTATATATCTTTCGATTTGCACGAAATTTGGCATTATATACTGAATTGAGTCTACAATGATGTGTGCTAAGTTTCAAGAAAATCGGTTCAGATTTAAATATAGCTACCGATTTTAGGTAAATGGTTCACCAAACTCCCAAGGTTTGCCCGATTGAGACAAAATTTTGCACAGCATAATGAATTAAATCCAGATTGATGTATGCGAAGTTTTGTAAAAATCGATTCAGATTTAGTTATGTTTGTGAAGTTTTGTTGAAATCGATTCAGATTTTGTTGTAGCTCTCATATATATAGTTTCGTCCGATTTTATGTAAATGATGCACCAAACTTCCAAGAGTTGTCCGATTGAGAAAAAATTTTTCAAAGTGTACTAAATTACGACCAGTTTGATGTCTGTGAAGTTTTATTGAAATCGGTTCAGATTTTGATGTAGCTCCCATATATAGTTTCGTCCAATTTTAGGTTAATGGTGTACCAAACTGCCAATATTTGTCCAATTCAGACAAAATTTTGCAAAGTGTACTGAATTAGATCCACATTGATGTATGCAAAGTTTTGTAAAAATCGATTCCGATTAAGTTATAGCTCCCATGTATATTTTCGTCCGATTTTGGGTAAATGGTGCACCAAGCTTCCAAGGATTGTCCGATTGAGATAAAATTTTGCACAGCGTACTGAATTAGGTCCAGTTTAATGTTTGTGAAGTTTTGTTGAATACCCTTTCTGAGACCATTTTTGTCCTATCGAATTGCATTTTTCCAAAATAATCTATATATGGAGAGATCTATGAGGGGAGAAAAGAAGGGGGATAGAGAGAGATGAGAAGTTTACAAGGAAGTATGCACTCTCCCAAACACATTAGGAGAGTCTACAGTAATCAGTAAACCATTTACTGGTAAAGGCCCTGATATTGCAATGACCAGTAATAACTTTTGTCATTACTCTAATTTCAACTTTACTCAGATTCAACAGTGAGTTTGTTCTCATGGTTGATAGAGTCGGCCAGATAGATCTTGACACATTGCACCTAGGTTCGTTGTGCCAAAGTTCATAGTCTCGTTTGTCGAAGAACCCCTCAAAGTTCCGATAATTGCTAGATTTGTAGATTAAACGAGGTTCTCAATCTAATTCTGCTCTACTCTTTCATTATCCATGATATCACGGTGTCCTGGTACCCAACACAGCCGATAGCTCTAAGTAAGCTCTTCCAAAAATGTTCTACACTTGAGAACGGCCTCAGATTTGATGTAACAGGATTTGACGGCTTTATGAGCCGCTTGACTATCCACAAAGATAGTCACCGGTTCAACAATCTCAGCATCCAACTTGTTACCAATTCCGCTGACTTCCAAATCGCAAAGATTTCAGCTTGGAAAACACTACAGTTGCTATCCAGCTTGTTCTTAAGCTCAAGACCTTCATCCATCTTAGATCCGTCTGTATAAAAAACCAAATCGTCCAGAGGAGGGTTGCTACGGTTCCAGTCATCTCTACTTGGAATAAGGACATCTACATCGTTAAATCTCAGGATTGGCGATGTACATACTTCGTTCAAGATACAATCATGCCCAAGGGTACAACTTCGCCAAAGATTTTATTTATGCAGCCTTAGGCCACTACGAGCGGCCAGACATTTAATGCTGAGGCCCAGATGCCTTAAGTTCAGCATCGCGGCTCCTTTTATCAAAATCGAGGCGGTTCTTTGTACCTTATCTAGTTTGCTGGATGTCGACTTGTGTTGCAGGAAGTTCCACCAAACAAGATAACCATAGGAAAATATAGGCTTAACGAGTGTATTGTCGATGGTATTAGCCCCCAACTTTTCCCAATGGAATTCTTGCATGTATAGAGTGCAATCAGCCCTCTCCTAGCCCGTTCCTCAGCGTTCCTGTTCCATCGTAATTGACAGTCCAGGATTGTGCCAAGGGCGGCCGGGGGTAACTTCTATAGAAAACTCCAGCAAAAGAATGACCAATTTTTCAAAAAGGTAACCAATTGTCCTGATTCTTTAGATATACAGGGTATAGGTATATATATATATATATACCCGATTTACAGGCTCATTTTGCATACAATTTTAATTGTTTCAAATTAAAGTAAAATTACAAAAAGTCACCTCTTACATCAAACAATCACCTAAATCATAAACTCATCTTCTCCAAATTTCTTTGGATTTTCGCAATCACAGTTATCGAGTAGGTTTTGCGTTTCGTTGCAAAATTATGGGCAGATAAATAAAAAAAACTAAAGCAAGCAACAACAAATTATAAAAGCATCCAATAAACTATATCCAATGAAACAGAAACACACAACAACAACTCACCTTTACAGGCCGATATTAGAAAGTAGCCACTGTCGCAGATATCACTAAAATCCAAATGAACCACGGGACGAGTGTGACCACTGCATGTCAATGGAATTTGTCGTAGATTTGTGGTCATTTTTGAAAATATGTTCTCTCCTTATTCCTCTTCCTTTCTTTTGAATGAAAGCACTAAAATTTAATAAATTCGTTTGCGAATTTTCTTATCAGACTTTTTGCTTAATTGTCTGTCACCCACTTAAATTTGGTTAGTTGTTTTTTTTTTTTTAATTTCCTCACTATAATTTATTTGACTGGCAGGACGAAAATGTGGGAATATATTAATGTATCACTTTTTTTTCAGAAAAATAGATTTTGTCTGATTGATTTTTTTGTTTCTTTTAATTCCTTTGGGTTTCGTCGTCTGCCTGCCTTTCAATAAAAAAAATGTCACTCGCGTTTGCCGTTCTGTTTTTATTCTTCTCCTGTTTTTGTTTTTTTTTTTTTTCTTGCAATGTCGACGTTGCCTTGAGGTTGAAATTTTGTTATATACCAGGAATTGGGGAAATGTTTTTATTATTTATTAAAATTTAGCGCACTTTAACTTTTAATCGAATAAACTTAAAATTTTTTTATCATCAATTTGACGGTAGCTATTTGTTGTTGTTACGTTGGCTGGCGTTGAACATCCACTGACAATGACAACGAATGTGGGATATATAAATCGATTTGTAAACCGAAAAGAAAAATAATGAATGTCATCCACAAAGAGGATGGAGAAACATTCACTGAAAAATGTTGACATATAACCAATCGCTTTGAAATGAATTCTCCAAGGTGTATTTAATAAGGTGTAAGTGACAATATTAAACTTTTTGCTTTATTGTTTGTAAAGTAAATTGTCAAAAACATTTTAAATATTACATTTCGATTTCAAAAATGGCCCTTAAATTTAGTCTTTTTTAATAATAAAAATTCAAGAAATCTACATTCATGAGGCGGACGGAAAGGAAACCTATGCTTAAATCAGTTATAACCCCGTTCGTCGAATGGTCCACATATTTTACGTTATGTGTGGAAATCTGTCCATAAATTCCTGATACTCATAAAATGGAGGAGATTATGTTTATGTCGCTCAATTTTCTTTAAGAAGGCAACAAAATTGAAAGACACTACTCCATAGAAAAATAGATTGTAATTCACAATATAAACATCACAAGGAGCCATGGGCTGTATGTGGGAAACTTAAAATTAATCGCGATCAGGTCTTAAACTTTATTTTTCACTGACCTAAAACCGCCGATAACCCAAGAATATACAAATTCATTAATTATTCCTCAAAGAATATTTCTTGACAAAAATAAATTAATAATTGTTTTTGTTTATTTTTGTCAAAAAATGATTGTCAGCATGACAATTTAATTTCTATAACAACAATGTTGTTTTTGTAAAATATTTGTTGTTGTATCTGATGCATACACCTTATTAAATACACCTTGGAATTCTCACTTTTGAAAACAGTTACTGTTTAAGACATAATAGTTCCGTTCCAGAACCGAAAAGAATCTACTCATTTTGCATGTTTTACAACTTTTTACCCGAAAACCGTTCCTCAATCCACAAAACTGGTAAAACATTAAATCAAATTTAAGAGAGCACAAAACAAAATGTCTTTCTCTTTGTAAACTTTTTACTCGAGAAATTTGGCCGAGTAAAAATTGCGTTCCCGAACTTTTCAAATTATTTTGTACTCTGAGAGCAATTTTGAAACGTTTCCCTTTTACTAGATTTATTATTAAAATGGTACTGGAACAGACCAAATATAAATGGCTAAATTAATTGCAATATTTGATAAATTTTCGTTTCGCCCTGGGGCACGGAATCGAGATAGACCCATTGTTCCTTTTGAGAATATGCATAGAAGTATATGTCGCATATAAAGGGCTAAACAGAATGTTCGCGTTGAACGTTTTTTGTTATCGCGTTAACGCACGCAAAAAGTTAAAATATTTGTGTTATCGTTTCCTTGTGGTTGTTGTATTTTCGATAACACATAACGCGACGGATGGTTCAACGCGAGCATTCTGCTTAGCCCTTTATTTGGCCCAAGGACGAACCCTATTGAAATTGGCGGAAATCGGTTCAGTTTTAGATATAGTTCCCATATTTTGGTCCGAATTTTTGTAAATGTTGCACCAAATTCCTAGCATTGGTCCGATTGAGACAATATATATCTACAAAATGGTTTGAGATAACTCCATCATATTACCACTCAATGGAAAGGTATTTTTATAACCTTTAAAATGATACCCGTAGAACCGGATATAACCAGGTACCCGAACTTCCGTGTCAAATAAACGGGTAACCGCGTACGTCCCCCAAGAAAAAAAAATATCCCCATAATTAGGATAAAAATACCTACCTCTGGAAAATTTTTCAGAAAAATCTGATCGTTTTTATTAAACTAGAGTTGTTCCGGGGAAGGCCACGAATAAGATGGTTGAAGACAACATTGCCGAATATGGCCTTTCAAATTGGAAAAACTGCGCAAAAGACCGACGCGCCTGGAAATATTTTTTAAGCTCGTCTTATGGAACGTAAATTCTGTCACAAGCAAGCTAAGTAAGTGGTGTCATTAAATAGATTGACTGCGATCCACATCAAGCAAACTCATTAGCTGCTTCATTTACCTTGATGTCTCTATGACCTGTGGGTCGATTCACTATCAAATTTAAACAATTCTCAAATCGATAAAATATTATAACGACAAAAACAATATTTCAATTCTATAACAGCGTTTTACAACAATTGTTAAAAATGTTGTTAATAAACAAAACCAAAATATTCCTAGTTAACAGTACGTTTACATTTAACCGGATTTCGTTAACCCAATTCAATTCCATTGTATATATGTCATATAAATCCTCATAAAGTGGGTTAACCCGGTAAAAAGTTATAATGTAAATGTCGTTTAACTTATCGACAAATATTTTTCAATATTGAACATGCCTTGTTTTGTTCTGAATTTGTTGTCAAAATGTTCAAAAATAGAAGCTTTTTGAAAGTTTTTCGACAATTCGTCTACATTTTTACAGAATATCATTTTCGTTATTGCAAACGATTTTATGTGTAGACAAAATTGTCGATTGTCGGATCGTTATAAGTTACTGGAAGCCAAAGCCTAACAAAATGCCGTATATTCGGCAGTGCTAATTTTATTATTGACAAATATATGGTCTGTTCCCGTACTCCAAGAATCTACCAGATTTTACTATTTTCTTCGATATCATAAAGGAAAATTCGTTATCGTAGTAAAAAGTGGTAGAATCTTGCAGTACGGGAACAGACCAATAATCAACAGACAGGCAAAGGAACATCTTACGCATTTAATAAATATTTTTAATTTTATGTATATAATTTTTATTTTTCCTTAGATGATTTTTTTTTATTTTAAACGAATTAAGTTATTGCTTAACATAATTAAAAGTTTTTTGTGAATGGGTTTAGTTGATATATACAGGAGACAATAAAAAAACAAATTCCAAATACATTACAATGGTCTTGTTAAATACAATTTATAGGTATGATACAATAAATTATGGCATTAACTGGACATTTTTTTTTTTTTTTTTTTATTCGATAATAAGGGATTGCACAATTTGACAAATATTTGAAGCGAATAAAACAAAACAAAAAAATTGTAGGCAGTTAATATTACAAAAACAAAAAACAGAAATAACAAAAAAAATTTTGAATAAAGGGGAAATACGGAAAACTATAAAAATTTAAGCATTTTCAATTTCTTTTCTTTAAAAGAAACTCCCGTTCTTTGCAAAATAAATATTATGCCTTGATTTTTTTAAATGTTTCTTTGTTTTTATATTTATAAAATGCAAATACTATAACTAAATATTTTCGTTTTTTACATATGAATAACTTTTCAACTGTTTATGTTGTTGTTATTTTTTATACATTTACTATAAATAATTATGTGTGTTGCCTTTTGCGGATATCGTACAAAAAATGTTTTTTTTTAATTACGTAGAAAGCATTTTAGGATTTCATTTTTGTTTGTCTGTGATTTTATTGTATATAATTGTTTCTGGCTTTGTTGTTGTTTTTTCTGTAAAAGGTACTTTATGTGTTGTTACTTAGTTAACATAATTACTATTAATTTTTTTCGTTATATTATTACTTAAATTCTAAAAAAATAATTGTTTTAGTTTATAATAATTTATACTATACATATATTAATGTTATATAATAATTTTTTGTTACATGTTAATATTTTTATTTACTGTTTCATAATTGTTATACGCTACTGCTACCAAATGTAGTAACTTTTTTCATTTTCTTGCTATAGAATTTTACTAATCTGTAATGAGAGATTGAGACAATAGCAGACAATTAGCATAACAATGTTTAAATGAAAGGAATGACAAACTCTTACCAGTGACCTCCTCTGGTGTTCCTTTTCCAAGGCCACTTGTGTTTGTTGTGGTGAAAATTTCAATACCGCCGATATAACTTTGACCAACGTTTCATTATTACCATTTGCTGAACCGGTTAGATACTAAAATGACAAATTAAAATATATTTTTTACATATATAGTCAAAGAGAAAACTAGAAAAAATCAGACTGAACACAAATTGACAGGGAATATAGTACAAAACGCCCCCTTTGGCGGCTTTAGCGAAGGCGACTAATTCACCCTACCCTGAGCGTTGAAATCGGCAAGAACAATTTTATTATCTCCCTGCAGCAAATGGATAATGCTTGGATGATAACTGGCACCAATGCTGTAAACGGCGGAATATGTACATTGACAATTTCAATTTCAGAATCGTCGAAATGTACTGAAATTGGTATTCGACGATTCTGAAATTGAAATTGTCAATGTACATATTCCGCCGTTTACAGCATTGGTGCCAGTTATCATCCAAGCATCATCCATTTGCTGCAGGGAGATAATAAAATTGTTCTTGCCGATTTCAACGCTCATCGGGAGATATGGTTTTGTCAACTTCCTAATGATTCCTTCCATCAATGAGGAATCCTCTACCAGACATGGTTTTCTCAACATCCTAATGATCCTCGCGGTATTCTTATTCCGAACATCAGTCCATTGCTTCTTCCGTATACTTCCTGGGAAACCTAGGTCACTTTATATTCAGACCATATTCCCATCCTGGTCACTGTTGAGAAACCCAGCGATTTCGTGGAGCCCGATCTGCGTACTTTCATGAATTATAATAAAGCCAAGTGGCATGGCTTTACAAGATTCATTGAAGACTCCTTAAGTCATATGCCGCCACTCCACGAGCCAGAAAGGGTGAGAAGATATTCCGTGAAACTATTCTAAAATCTTCATTGCTGGGAATGAGACAAAACTATCCATCCAGGGCCTCCAGATTGGCACAACAATGCGACCAACTTCATGAGAAAGCCCCGCTGACGACAGAATCCCTCAGCTAAGCTCTGAAATAGATTCTGCTTAAGCATAGGCGCTTTAAATTGGTTAGAACACCCTAACCACTGCAATATAAATTCCAAGCAGCTATGGATTTACAATAAAGAGTCTATCTGGTTCCAAAAGAAATAAAAATCTCCCTGCTAATTCCTTCGATAACATACAACATTCTGATGCAAAAAATGTGCATTGCATTTCTGTCGCAGAACAGGACCAAGCGAGCAGTTATCCGGAGATACAAGAATGGCCTCAATCAGCGACGAGCACCTGAACGGACCATTGTGGCAGCCTTAGATGTGTCCAAGGTGTTTGATACGGTCGATCATTCCGAGCTGATATCCGACATCACAAATTCCGAGTGATATCAAGCGTTGACTTGCCAACTACCTTAATGGGCGTCAGGGCTTCGTTGAGTTCCTTGGCCAAAAATCTAAATATCGCAATATCAAAATGAGAATACCGCAAGATTGTATCCTATATCCCTGCTGCTCTGCACCTGCTGCTAACCTCGCATCCAATCTTGAGTAGATGTGCCTTCAGGCTGAGGTGTCCCGTAAGAATACCAGTCAGTTTGCTTATTTTTTTAGCGTTGGGATTTGCTTAGTTTTGTCTTCATGTGGGTCACCTCATACATTTTTTGTGATCTTTTCTGATCCCCCTATTATTCCAAAGAGTTTTGTGGGTCTCATTCGCCCATGCCCTAATTTCTTGGCGTGTTGCGCTAAAGGGTTTGGCAGTACTCACATCTATTGAGGGTAATACAGTGGCAGTTGCCTGTTACTCCTGTGTGACTGGTATTATATTTTCGCACCGTTTTACTACCCTCGTTTCAGGTATGCGGTCTGAATCAAAGGTTGTTGTTGTAGCAGCCCTGCTATTTTACACAATGGGCTGAGGTGACAGACGTTGGACGAGTAAGACTCGGGTCGTTTCGGATCGTAGACCCCTCTGTCGTGGAAACGTGAATCAAAGGTATTGATTGTTGTCAGTAGTTGCCTGTAATATGTTTTTGTGCGGTATGTTGTGTCCGGTGTCTATCCACTCGTCCATTGTCTTAAGTCTTAAAGCTACAACCGCCGCTTCATATTTTATTTGAATGTCTATTGGATGTCTTCATGCTGACCTATTTTTGTTTTTCTGCTGAAAAGAAATATCTCCGTTTTGTCCGGATTTACTTAGAAGCCTCTCGGTTTAGTCCAATTGTAGGCGATGTATAGCACCTTTTCAGCTTTTCTGCATAGTATTTTAGGATTTTTTCCCCTAAGAAGTATTATAAAGTCTTCTGCATAGCAGACTGGTTCAAATCCTTCATCGGTTAAGTTCCTTAAGAGTCCATTTATGGTGGGTGACAAAATTCAAAATTCACAGGAGCGGTGACAAAATCCCTCCCTATGTTATTCCCTAACCTACTTTGTCCCTGACTGTTATTTCCTGTATGCTACAGCTAATTCATCCAATCATTAGCATATAGTTAACCCAATATATGCCTGCCCGGTTAACTTGGAAGGTATCTAAGGTTTGGATAAGCGTATTAGTGCTGACATTGTTGAAAGTTCCTTCAATGTCAATGCATACCGCTAAGGTATACATTTTCTTAGCGAATGTGTCCTCAATTTGGTGTACTACCTCATGTAAAGCGGTTTACACTGATCTCCGCTTTACATACACATGTTGTTTATATTTCAGCGTATCGTTGAGGTTGCTACTCTTTATCATGGTGTCGATTGTCGATTGTTCATGGTTTGAGTAGGAATGAAGTTAGACTTATTGGCCGTTAAGATTTTGGTTTGCCTTGCCGTGCTTGGGTATGAAGACTACCCAGGCTTCCTGCCAGACTTTCGGTATGTATGCAAACCTTATACATGCGTTAAAGTGTGCGGCTAGATGTGGTGATAAATATACCGTTTCTTTTTGTAGTAAAGTGAGGAAAATGTTCTCCGGACTTGCCGATTTTTAAGACCTTATACCGTTGACTTGTCAATCATAAGTTCCTCTGACTGCCATGACATCGTCCATTATCGATGTTTTCGCTGGAAGTGAGCGTTCATTAAAAGCCTTAGAGTTTCCTTCATAGTTTCGGTTTGGGTGTGTGTTTTAGATACAAACTTCTTGATTTTTGAACCATCGTTCACGCTGTCTACCTTTTCGCAGAACAACTACCAGGAGTTGCGTTTGGCAGTTCTAGTCATTTTATTGTATTCCTTCCGTTTATCGTGGAAGTTGTCCCAGAATACTGTGGATTTTTTCCGGCGAGCTCTGTGGACATACAGGGGTTTTCAAAGGCAGATTTACTTTCTCGAAGAGGACCAATTTCCCCGAAGGACTTTACAAATATTGAAGGGATTTAAGAATTGTCATGTAATCGACGAAACGCCGATTCCAAATATAATTATCAAGAAATATACCCAGCATTGGTCCTTTTCTTATTAATCTATCTGTGGAAAAAACTTGCATATTTGTCTAATATTTACCTGGAACATAATATTCTTTAAGTACTCGAATTCTGTATTAGCTGCAATACCCTCATTGTGTTGCATGGATACCTTAAATAATAATAAAAGACAAACAAAATTTTGTTAGATCAAGATAATTCATAGTTGTTTAATTTTTTTTTTCGAACTTACCAATGTTTCATCCAATTGCCTTGATAATTTGGCATTTTGTAATTTCAAACGTTCGTTTGATTGTTCCAATATTAGATAATTTTCACATTTTTGTTCTAGGAATAGATTACGATTCGAGACATCTTGAACTTCGGCCATGATTGTTTTCAATTTCTCCTCCAGTTGTTTTTTCTCAGCATCAGCGTTGTTGTCGGTGCTGTTAGAAGTGCTACTATTCGATGTGTTGGCATTGACGTTATCAACATGATGCATATCAATGCCGAACATTTTTTGTGCCTGCAGTGTGGCCTTGATTCGTTCCAAGTCCATGATACGTTCGGCCATTTGAGTGTTCGTGGCCTGTAGATCTTCCATTTCTTGTTGCAGATTGGAAATTTCCCTTGAAGATTTATGCTTTAGATCTTCCAATTCTCGTTGTAGGGTATCGTTCAGTTTACGTAAATGTTCCGAATCGGTTGGTATATTCGTTGGTGGTGCTGCTGGTTCATTGTTTTGTTGTTGTTGCTGGGATTTGAGTACCGCATTTCCTCTTTCCACTTCCAATTCAATTTTAAGAGATTTAATTTCTTCTTGGAGCTGTTGTTTTTCTTGCAATATCCCATCGAGTTGTTTTAGATTATTTTGTAATTCTTCTAGTTTTTGGGTAGAATTTTCTAAATCTTTTTTCAGCTGCTCATTGAGTGCGGTGAATTCTTGTTCCCTGACCAAAGAAGATGACTTGAATTGGTCATATTCTTGTGTTACAGTGTCTTTGGAACTTTCCACTTCCTTGAGTTTATTTTGTGTGGCAAGTAATTCCTTCTGCACAGTATCATCCTGTTCGGTTATGTATTTAATATGATCCAATTGCCGCTGTAACTCCGATTGCACCTTTTCCAAGTCGTTCTGTAATTGTTTGTTATGGGCCTCACTGTCTTGATATTGTTTCTCCTTGGCCAGCATATCGATTTCATGTTGGTCTGCATTTTCCTTAAGTACATACAGCTCACATTGTAAGGATTTGAGTTTCTCTTTCAGATCATTAGAATCGGAATCTTTTAATTTGACATTATCGTGATGTTCGGCAATCTGTGCCTCCAATTGTTTCACATGTTTATTTAAGAACTCACATTCCAGTTGCAATTGCTCAACATTTGTGGCTTGAGAATTTAATTTATTTACGGTGTCTTGTAATTTTTCCATGTCGGCGATGTTAGAGGCGTACTTCGCTTGTAAATCTTCAAGTTGTTTTTGTGATGCGGCCACAAGTTGTAAAAGTTTGGCCTTTTCCTCTTCTGCTTGTTGAAGTTTCGTGGAAATTTCTTGAAGTTCGGTGTTTTTGGTTTGTAATTGTGTTTCAAGATTTTGTTTGAATTCATTTTCTTTGGATTTAGCAGTATTCAATTCTTCTGTTAGTTGTTCATTTTGTGTTTGCAAAATTGTCATCTTTTCCCTCAAATTATTATTTTGTCCTTGTAGTTCCTTGAGTTTTCCACTAATATCTTCATTGTTTGTTTCCAAAGCCTTTAGAGCCTCAATTTGTTGTTGTAGTTGTTCCAAATTCTTTTGATTTCCATCCAACTCTTGTTGCAAGGACTCATTTTGTTCTTTGAGTAGCAGAATTTCTTCTTTCTGTTGTTCCAATTTTTGATTGCTCTCTTCGAATTCATTTAGCCTCTGCTGCAGTTCCAGTTTATCGTTTCCCATTACTTTTTGGGTTTCTTTCAACTCGCTCACTTGTTTTTCCAGCTCCTCTAATGTCATTTCCTTTACCTTAAGGTTTTCCTTAAGTGCTTGGCCATCATTTAATTGTTCACTGAGGGATTGAATTTCTTGCTGAAGTTTTTCTTTTTCCTCTTGCATCGCAGCCTTTTCTGTTTTCTCTTGCTCCAATTCCTGCATAACATTTGCATATGCCTTCCTCATTTCACTAAACTCCCGCAATTCTTCTTGCAACTCATCCATAGCCTGTTGTTTTTCCGCCAACCTCTCTTGCAGACCTTCTGATTCCGATTCTTTTTCACTAAGATTTTGTAATTGCTTACGTAGACTTTCCTGTTCCTTTTCCATTTGTTCCCTTAGTTTTTTCTCCTCACTCAAAGCCTGTCCATTGCTCTCCAGGGTCTTTGTCATTTCCAAAACTTTGTGTTGGGCCTCCTGCAACAGCCGTTGTTGTTCATCCAATCTCTTCAGCTTTTCTTCCATTTCCATACGCAAATCATTTAATTCCTGTTGCAAACAATCTCTGTTATCCTCCAATATGGCTTTCTCCTTTTCCAAGGCATCAAACTTATCCTGCAGATTGCGATAGTCGTGATCATTCAATTCCTGATTGTTGTGCAGACGTGAATTTTCATGGAGAACTTCTTGCATTTTTTCGTTGAGTTTTTGCAACGAATTCTCTGTGGTTTGCAGTTTCAAACGCAGCTCACTTATCAAAGCTTCTTCGGTGGCAGCCTGCTGACGTTCCTTTTCGGCCAATAACATTTCCAAACGATGGGTATTCTCTTCCAGCAGACAATTCTTCTCCGCCATTTGGGTATGTTCGCTTTCAACTGTTTGCAGCTTAGTTTCCATTTCTTTTAGTTTAACCTCAGCCTGTTCTAGCAGCTCTTGCCATTTTTCATTATCCTCCTCGGAATTTTGTCGCTGCTGTTGCATATTTTCAATCCGCTGCTCCAGTAGATGTTTTTCCGTCTCCAATTCTTTGTGGGATTCCTGGACAATACGCATTTGCTCTTCCATTTGGGTAATTTCACTAAGGATGCCGGTTACTTGGTCTTTCAGCTCATTCTTTTCCTGTTCGGCTTCCTGCTCCCTTTTTGAGGAGGCTTCACGGAGAGCCTCAATAAGATTCTCTTGTTGTAGTAAATCGTTTTTCAACTTTTCAATTTCTTCAAATTGTTGTTGCATTTGCGTCATATGCGTTTCATGTTGTTTTTCCGATTTCGAGGATTTTTTCGACAGGGTTTTCAATTCTTTCTCTTTCGCGGCCAATTGTTCTTTGGTTGCTTTTAATTCATCGTTTAATTCCTTTGTTATTCTTTCAGTTTCTTGTTTCAAATTGGTAATTGTTTCCGATTCAGTGTTGGCATTTTGTTCCTGGGCCAGTTTTAAATCTATTTCCAATTGTTTAATTTTTGCAACAATTTCCTTTTCGCCGGTTTCTTTCGCCTCCAATAGTTGTTTCAACTTGTCCGATTCTTCTAAAGCCTGCTTTAGTAAATCTTGCTTAGTGGCCAACTCGTTCTTGAGGTCTTCCATGTCCTGCACACGCTGATTGTAATCCTTTTCCGTCTCTTCAAGTCTTGTCCTTAGAATATCATTTTCATTTTTCGTACGATTCAATTCATTGTCCACCTCGGCCAAGGACACTTCATTTTGTTGGTACCGTTGTATCATTTCACTGAGTTGTTGATTTTGTTGTTGCAGTTCTTGTAATTTTTCGGCAGTTTCCTTGGCCTGTTGCTGCAGTTTCTCTTCCAGAGATTTGGTGGATTTCTCTTTTTCATTTTGTTTTTCTTTCAGCTCGCTTAATATGTGTTCTGAAGCTATGACTTTGGCTTCCAATTCCTGTTTGGAACTGATGGTTTGTTTCAATTTTTCCTTTAGCTCGCTCAACTCTTCATTAGTAGCTGATTTTTTATTCATTTCGGTTTGCAATTGTTTCACCGTTTCCGTTAGTTTCTTAACTTCAGCTTCCTTGTTTTCCAATTCGGAATGTATGGCAGCTTTGGTTTGAGCCAACAGCAGCACATTTTCCTCCTCCTGTTTTTTCAACAAGTCCAGTTTATTATTTAATTCTAGAATGTGTTGATCACGTTCTTGTATTAGTTTCTCATAATTTTCTAATCGTTCCTTAAAGTCCTCATTAATAATCGATTGCTGTGTATTGTCGTCATTGCGTCGAGTCGTTGCTGGTGTTTCTTCGTTGCTACTTAAATCGATTAATTGCTCGTTTGTCTGCCCAGCCGCCAATGCAGCAGCAATATTATCCGGATTCTCGCCCAATAATTTCAATTTAGTTTGATAGGCTTGCATTTTACATTGCATATCGTCGATTTCCATGCGTAGAGCTTCTTCCAAATGGGCTTTGGCTTGTTGTTCCAAAGAGCATTGTTCACGTAACTCGTTAATGCGTCGTATGGCTTTTTCTTGGGTTTCCACCAAAACGGACTGTAAATTAAAAAAAGTGAGAGGCGAAAAATTAGAAATGAAAGAAGGAAAAAAAAAATAATAAAAAACACTTTAAAATAATTGAAAAAAATATTGAAATAAATATTAAAAACCAGAATTTTCCTAGACAAACTAAAGAGTGTATTTCTAGGCGAGTTGAAGCGAAATTTTTTAAAATAGTTCAAAAGAGTCCTTCTAGACGCGCTAAAGGGATTTGAAGGTGGGACTTTTTCGAAGGCGGAAGATGAGTGGAAAAAAATCGTTGTTGTTGTAACAACATTTCTTTCCTGAAAATATTTATTGAAATCGGACGGACAATTGAATAGATGGTTTGTGAGGGCTTTGCTGGCAGGAGGGACACCTGTTTAGGGTTCCGGGAACAATGCGCTCTCGATACGAGTTGAGAACATTGCTGTGTCCGAACCTTAGTTGTGCCAGAATCGAACGGGAGGCCGCCTGTTGATGGCGACGGATTTCATTGCGTTCACTATCGACAATCTATTGACGTCCGATAGAATAAAGTCTTGCCATCACGATATCGCCTGAAGTCCTGACGGACGTAGATCTGCCATCACTGCAGGAACTGTCTAGTCAACAATACATTATGTTGATTGACTGATAGCATCCTGGCCTCCTCATGGAGGTGATAGATGCTCGTCATCTGGACACAGCAGATTGCAATTCGAAGTGCATTATTTTGTGTTGTTTGCAAGGATCTCCATTGTGTGTCGCTAAGAAAAGAAGTCCAGACTGGGGCAGCATAATTAAGGATGGAAAGACCTATGGATTTATATATCGTTACCAACGTTTCTTTATTCTTGACTCAGGAGGTGTCATCCAAAGCTTTCAGAACTTTATTGCTAGCTTTCAACTTCTGGTTGATGTAGTTAGAATGGGAGGAGAACGGAAGGAGGTTATCGAAGACCACCTCAAGGATTTTGGGGTTATAAACGGGAAGTGAAAAATGACGCAGTAAACTTTGTAGTGGATAATTTTAGATTGCGCTCCCGAAAGAAGTTGGTCGTCTATGTTACCGCCGTACTAAAAAATCGTATAGATGAAGGTTGAACAAAATGGAAGATAGGACACCGCCTTACGGTGCTCCCATTTTGTTCTTGTGAAGGACACGAACTCAAGGAAGGCCTGCCGCTCATTAAGGTAGTTGGCAAATCAACGCTTAATATCATTCGGAAAGGTGGAATTTGTGATGTCGGATATCAGCTCATATCAAACTCCTTGGACAGATCAAAGGCTGCCATAATGGTCCGTTCAGGTGGTCGTCGATGATTGAAGCCATTCGCAATCTTAAAAGTCATTTCTTGCAAAGCCGTTGTTGTTGTAGCAGTTTATATCAATATAGTTTTCCTGTGTTGTATTGTGTTGTTGATGATTCGCAACCGGATAGCTTTCTCTAATGCTGGGGAGGAGTATGCCACAAGGGTCTTCGTTACTGGCGACAAAAGTGAAATCGGTTTGTAAGATTCACCTTTGCTGGCATCCATGCCCGGCTTCAATAACGGGACCACCCTGCCGATGGGCAGGCAGGCTCGTCCAGCTGTTTCAGCATACACATGGATATTCCGTCAGGGCTTTGGATGACTTCGCATCACGGATGACATATGCAACATCACCCACCGTGAACTGTGGTGGTACCTCCTCGGCTGGAAGAGATCTTATACGACGAAATACTCTTCTCTTCGCCCTGTCGCTCTCGAAATGCTCGACAAACTGTCGGTTAAAATAACTCGCGCATATCTTCGGATCAGTCACAGTTTCGTCGTTAAATGTGACTTAGGTACTATCATCCTTCTTACCAAGGTTCGAGAGCGACATAACCGTTTCCCATAGTTTACATACACCGCTACATCACACCACCACAGTTTACTTAAATATGTTTGTATTGTTTGCTTGCAAAGCCGTGGTTGTGCTTTATGATTTCCTGAAACCGTGTTGGTTGGATTCTTTGTAGTCGAGCTGAAGAGAGTGTATAGCTGAAGGGGAACTTTTTGAACGAGTTGAAGGCAGCCTTTCTAATTGAGCCAGAAGGAACAAGGAGCATTTATAGAAGAGCTAATGGGTGTCTTAAGGGAGCCTTACAAATCTTTATAGACGAAGTGAAGTATGTCTATATAGACGTGCTAAAAGGACCTTAAGGGAGTCTTTATAGAGAGCTGAAGGAGGTTTAATCGTGTCTTTTTAGGCGAACTGAAGTGAGTCTTTCTAGATGAACCTTTCTTGTTGAGCTGATGGCATGGAGTCTGATCAAATAGATTTTTCTAGAGTTGTTTCCTCTCAAGGGTTTCAAGAGTTTCCTTTCAAGGGAAATGAAGACAATTTTTCTAAACAAATTAGATTATTTGAGCTATATGGGGCTTCTATAGGGGGTTTAAAGGGAGTCATTTTAGATGAGCTGAAGGCGGCCAAGATGGGAAAGGTGTTTATAGGCTAGCAAAATAATAATTTAGTCCAAAATAAAAAACAGGAAAAACCAAAAATATTTGTATTTTAATTGAATTGAGTAAAAAAGGAGAAGTGGTAGCACAAATCCATTATCTTTAGCTCTATGTAAAATATTGAATTTCAAATTCGATTTCGGCTAGGTTTTGGAATTACAACGGATAGTTATGTTAACTAGAAGTATTTTTATTAGATGTAAAATTTCGAACAAAACACTACCATAGTTGTTATTATAACAACAACTAATTTCTTATCTATTTCTTTCACCACCTACATTGTGTGTTATGTTCTTATCAATATGGCCTAAATTATTCCGCTCCCCTAGCCAGCAAACGCAACATAACTAGAATGACTAACTGGCATTGCTTAAAAAGAACAAAAAAAAAAAACAAAAGAAAATGAAATGAAAGCATACCCTTGCCTTGGTACTATCTCGTTCCAAGTCTTTATACTTTTTCGCCAAATCAGTGTAACGGCATCGATATTTGTGATAACGATCTAATGATTTGCGATATGCATCAAACAGTTGTTCCTTTGTTATGACATCCAATTTGGCAGAGGTTGGAGCATCGCCCATTTCACTACCAGATTCATCCAAATCTGATTGAAAATTATATACCTAAAAGGAAGACAAAGAAAACATGTTCGGCAATTAATAAATATTATATTTTAGTATCAGTTATTTTTTCAAATCAGTGAAAGTTACAAAGTATAGGCCTTCAATTACAGTTATTGTGTAGTAATTGTCAACTTCAATTACAGTTATTGTGTAGTAATATTTTTTGTCAACAAAAATAAATGACATATTTTTCAAAACCAAGGAGTTTGGTCGTAAACAATCAATCAACCATTGTTTACTTTTCAACATCGTTTTTTATTTATAGAGACTTACCGAACCAGCATCCCAATTTGGTAAACGAAATGAAATATCTGATTGGACAGATGAATTAGAAAGTTTTCTAGTTCTTGGTATAGCACCTCCATTCTGGCCATGTGGTGGTGTTGTTGTATTCCTACCACGCACCGCTCCAGCGGGTAATTTTAAGGGTTTATAAGGAGAATTTTGGGGTGTATCTGAGGGAACCCGAAAACCAAACAAAAAAATAGATTAATATTTAAATACTAAAAAAATCACACACCCTTGTCCCCGCCCTCATACATACCTTCCTCAGTAATACTAAAGAAATTCTCATTAGTGGCATTATTTGTGGCATTCGTTTCCGTTGTAGTACTAGAGGACGCTGATGATGTTGCAGCCTGAAAATAAAAACAACAACAACAAATCAAAACAAACAGATTATTTAGGGAATCACAACAACACAATCTAATGTTAATTTTTTTGTGATATATTAATAGTACACAAACTGCGTTCCCATTTTGGCCTAATTTGCAAAAATGCTAGAATATATCTGACCATTGTATATGGAGTTGTGTTGTTTTGCTTTTGCCCATATTCCTTATGTTGTCCGTCCGTCCGTCTTGTTATGGGTCGCCACTCTGAGTTTTGACATTTGATGATGATGATAATGTTGTTGGAAAATTGTTTGCTCTGGGGGATAGGCGGCGGGGGGATTTACAAATCTTACCTGTGTGAAAAATTTCGAAGGTGAAGCCTTTACTTCTTCGATTAACTTATTCTTTAGATTCGCAAACATGTCTTTTGTTTGTTATTATATTCGTACACAAGTGTTATTTGACTTTTTGTCCAATAAATTAATTATAAATCAATTTATTTTCACATTCGAATCGATACGTGTAAATTAGTATTTTTTTCTCTTTCTTGGCCTTTTCAGCGACTGAAGAAAAATTGAAAAACGTTCCACCTGCTAACGAATGGAAGGAGAAGACAAAACGGCCAATAAAGATGAATTCAAAATGGTATAACCGAAAGTTTACGAATGAGGTGGTGGGATGGAGACTAAATGGAAACCGTGTTGTTTTTCCCCAATAAACTAGTATAGGAATCTTTCCCCAATAAACCATATGTTATAAGACAGTAGGTCTGCGTTGCCACTTTCACTGATATAAAAATGTATTTTTCGGCAGTTTTATGGTAGTAGGGAGAAATGATGGTACAAATCAAGGTCTATATATTGAGGTCATCTAGTAAGCCCATCTGATATCTACGTTTTTTGTCAAAACCAAGGCCGGCTAGTAAGCGAATTCATAGAGAACTTAAGTTTAACGTCAATTTTTTTGCCGAGGCGAAAACTATTTATTTCGCATTTAAATAAAAAACACAACACAATATACAATTTTATAAGAATGTGCTTTAAAAAGAAGATATAAATTAACATTGAATTGAATATTGACAAAATATTAATATTTTCGTTTTGACGTCTAACATAATTTTCAAAATATGATTTGACAATAAACTTTATACTCAGCTGTGCTTACTGTCCGACCTTATATAGGCTTGGTCAAAACAGATGGAATTCAGAAAAATAACCACAGTTAGCTTTGACGAAGGCATCGATAAAATTTAAAATGTTTATAAATTGGAGCGAAAAAGCAATTATTTATTAAAATAAAATCAGTGCTATGTTTGTTGTGCGTGATCAAAAAGTGCAAAATAATCAAATTTTTTCAAAGACATTTTTGCCACAACAACAACTTTTGACAGAAAATTTAGATATGTATATTTCCAGAAATTCGCATTTTGGATGACCTAATATAGTACAAATTATTCAAGGTAGGCCATATCAACTTTTTAATTACAATTTTTTTATATTTGGTATGTTCCCGTACTGCAAGAATCTACTAGATGTTACTACTTTCTTCGATATCATAAAGGAAATTTCGTTATCGTAGTAAAAAGTAGTAGATTCTTTCAGTACGGGAACAGACCAATAGTGTCTTGTTATGCCAAAGTCATATGCAAAATGTGTGACTTTGTATGTAATGTTCTGAAAAATATAACAAAATACAAATACAAACATATATCCAAAGAATTGACAATTGAAACCCACAGGGTTAACGAAAACATTTTGGTAAAATGTTAAAAATATGTCAAATGAACAGAACGACTTGTTGCATTTGTTTTAAATTATTCTGACATTATTGCTCATAAGGTAGAGTTGTATATTCTCCTTGCTGACAAAAGCTACCCTACCATGGTATAATTATTACAAGGTAGTGCACAGCTACCAACTGATTACAATTTTTTCTCAAATATCAAAATAAAATATCTCCGAAGCGCAATGCACATCAACTCCAAACGTTAAAGGGCTAAACATAATGTTCGCGTTGAATGTGTTTTGTTATCGCGTTAACGCACGCAACAAGTTAAACTATATTTAACTCCGAAGCGCAGCGCACATCAACTTCGAGCGTTTGTGTTAACACAAACGCATATCGTTTCCTTGTGGTTGTTGTATTTTCGATAACATATAACGCGATAAATGTTGACGCATATCGTTTTGCGGTGTACACACTAGCATTTTTGAATGACACTCTTGCCCAAATTTTGCTTGTTTGATAGTGTGGCCTCACATGTTTGTCATTCATCAGGCAACCACAAAAATATTTATGGTTGTTGGACAGTCAGTAATCGATAAAAAATGACAGTCAAAAATGATAGTGTGTACACCGTTTTTCCTTGTGGTTGTTGTATTTTCGATAACATATAAAGCGACGGATGGCTCAACGGGAGCATTCCGCTTAGCCCTTTAGACTTTTCGATTTTTGCTTCTGATCAAAAAGTTAATTTTTGGACTTGTTTTTCAATTTTGTCAAACCAGTTCAAAATCAATTTTCGATTTTTAACGATAAATGCAAAATCGAATAAAAATTTAATTTTTTATATTAGTTCTTGTCAACAGATAAAATAAATTCCAGAATGTATATTTTTTTGGCAATTTGGGCTTTTTGGGCCCAGATCAAAAGTAGAATTCGATTTTACAGATCAAAAGTCGAATTATGCCATGTCCAGACGAGCGTTGTTCGCTCTCTCATTCGTTGTTCGACCCTTAATTATGAAGGAATTACTTAGTTCCCCATACAAAATTGTCTGAGCGAACACCGACTTTTGTGTTGTTCAATTCGAATGATTCTCTGAATAACCAAGACATTTGTCCCATCCCTAACAATTGAGAGTATTTATCGGAAATAAATTAATTTTGACAGCATGAAAATATTTATAAAATTTTCAAACTTTTTCAGTAAAATTGAAAATCATGAATGAAAAGTAAAAAATTGTATAGATTTTATATATGCAGCAGGATGTAAATTTTGTTTTCTACATAATGCAATATGCATTTCTTTTCCCTTGGTTCTAATTAGCGTACAAAACAAGAAACAAATGTGGGGCAACTCAAACAACAAATTCTCCAAAATTTTATTTGTGACAGTATGTGACATTTGAATTGAGAAAATATAAAAATGTATTAAAAACAACAACATTTTCAGAAAAAATGGAAAACATGAATGAAAAGTAAATAGATATGGGTTCATACTATAGTCAGGAGAAAGAGAATTATTTTTTCTATTTAGATCCCTATGTAATTCACTAAAATATGTTACATATTTGGTGTAAAACAAGAAACAAAAAGTTTGAAATAAAAAACTCTGATGATATGAATTATGAATAGTGTTGTATGAACGGGTTAATTCATGTACGTAATTCTGAGAGCGAACTACGTTGTTCGGATGCCCGTCAGAACATGGCATTAGACTTTTCAATACCAAAAGTCAAAAGTCGATTTACATATCCCTATGCTACAAAAAGTCCATCTACAAAAAGTCGATTAATCGTTTAGTCGAAAGTCGATATACGTATCCCTAAGAGTCTAAACGCAACCATAGAGTCTAAACGCAACCATAGAGTCTAGAGTCAGCGACAGCCCTTTGCCGTGTGTTTCTTATAGGCAACGGGAAATCGCGACGGCTGACGTTCTCGTCTAGCGGCTTGACGCTAAAATAGATTTTATTCATTTTTGCTCAGCGTCATACTCAAATGTTCTCTCTTGCTCTCAGTTGAGTTGCCATATTTTAGGTAAAAATGAACAGTGCTACCAAATTTCAATGAGAATCTATATCAAAACATATGGCAGTGCTGTTAAAAAAAACAAATATTTTCAAAGATTGTGGACGTTTTTTGAACGAATTAATAATAAAATGGAAGAAAAATATTTTTTTCAATAATTTTATCCAAGTTCCTTGACATTATTGTCTATTAAATAATAAATTGAATTTTGTTTGCACAACGTAAAATTTTCTGTCAGAAAATAAAAACAAATAATTGACATTTTGTGCCGCTAACGCCAACTCTTTCGTTTGGTTTTCACGCCGGCGAAAAAGTATGACGCTGACTCGTGACTCTCTGGTTGCGTTTAGAGTCTAAACGCAACCAGAGAGTCTCGAGTCAGCGTCATACTTTTTCGCCGGCGTGAAAACCAAACGAAAGAGTTAGCGTTAGCGGTACAAAATGTCAATTATTTGTTTTCATTTTTTGACAGAAAATTTTACGTTGTGCAAACCAAAATCAATTTATTATTTAATAAACAATAATGTCAAGGAACTTGTATAAAATTATTGAAAAAATTATATTTCTTCCATTTTATTATAAATTCGTTAAAAAACATCCACAATCTTTGAAAATTTTTGTTTTTTTAACAGCACTGCCATATGTTTTGATATAAATTCTCATTGAAATTTGGTAGCACTGTTGATTTTTACCTAAAATATGGCAACTCAATTGAGAGCAAGAGAGAAATTTTGAGTATGACGCTGAGCAAAAATGAATAAAATCTATTCTAGCGTCATGCCGCTAGACGCGAATGTCAGCCGTCGCGATTTCCCGTTGCCTATAAGAAACACACGGCAAACGACTGTCGCTGACTCTAGACTCTATGGTTGCGTTTAGACTCTTAGACTCATAGAGTCTAGAGTCAGCGACAGCCCTTTGCCGTGTGTTTCTTATAGGCAACGGGAAATCGCGACGGCTGACGTTCTCGTCTAGCGGCTTGACGCTAGAATAGATTTTATTCATTTTTGCTCAGCGTCATACTCAAATGTTCTCTCTTGCTCTCTATTTTAGGTAAAAATGAACAGTGCTACCAAATTTCAATGAGAATCTATATCAAAACATATGGCAGTGCTGTTAAAAAAACAAATATTTTCAAAGATTGTGGACGTTTTTTGAACGAATTAATAATAAAATGGAAGAAAAATAATTTTTTCAATAATTTTATCCAAGTTCCTTGACATTATTGTCTATTAAATAATAAATTGAATTTTGTTTGCACAACGTAAAATTTTCTGTCAGAAAATAAAAACAAATAATTGACATTTTGTGCCGCTAACGCCAACTCTTTCGTTTGGTTTTCACGCCGGCGAAAAAGTATGACGCTGACTCGTGACTCTCTGGTTGCGTTTAGACTCTAATTTATTCCTAAAAACGTTTTCATCGTGTTGTGCGTGGTTCACAGAATTTTTTATTATTTTATTGAAAAAATCAATGTAATTTTTCAAAAAAATTGATTTCATATTAATCTCCGACTAAAACTTTACAAGGTAGGCATAAAATTTATTAAAAATATGTAGTATTTTGTGGAAAATTTGCGATTGAAAAAAAACCGAGTTGAGAAATGTATGCGGCTTTCAGTTTGTGTGAGCGTGTGTGCTTGTAATAGCTGTCGTCGGTCGGTGGTGTCTCGATTCGATGTGCCGCAAAAATATATATAGACACTAATTTTGCAAAGTGAATTTTTGTGTTTTAATTTTTTTGAGAATTTTTGTGTTTTAATTTTTTTGAGAATTTTTGTTTTCTCTAGATTTCCCTACACGTACATATGTGGAATCACTAGGTGGTAGTATATATATTTTTTGAAAATGTCTATACCGCCATATATGATTCCGCCTAATGCTTGGGCGGCACAAATTCATGCCTATGCTGCGGCCCAAGCCCAACAGGCCCATTTGCATGCCCAACAAATGGCCAATCAAATCCAACAAATACCGCCGCCGGGAGCACCTCTGCCTCCACCCACACAGGTTGGTATGCCGCCACAAGCCGGTCAACCGCAGCTGGGACAAATTCCCACGCCAAAGCCTGAATTGACAGAGGAAAAGCTGCAAGAAAAGGCTTTAAAGTGGCAGCAGTTGCAGTCAAAGCGTTTTGCTGAAAAGCGAAAGTTCGGCTTTGTCGATGCCCAAAAAGAGGATATGCCTCCAGAACATATACGTAAAATTATACGAGATCATGGTGATATGACTTCTCGCAAGTACCGCCATGATAAGCGTGTCTATTTGGGCGCATTAAAATATATGCCCCATGCTGTTTTGAAACTACTTGAAAATATGCCAATGCCTTGGGAACAAATTCGGGATGTCCAAGTGTTGTATCACATTACGGGCGCCATTACATTTGTAAATGAAATTCCCTGGGTTATTGAACCAGTGTATATTGCCCAATGGGGTACTATGTGGATTATGATGCGTCGTGAAAAACGCGATCGTCGCCATTTTAAACGTATGCGTTTTCCACCATTCGATGATGAGGAACCTCCTCTCGATTATGCTGACAACGTATTGGATGTTGAGCCATTGGAGGCTATACAAATTGAATTGGATCCGGATGAAGATGGTGCAGTATATAAATGGTTTTATGATCATCGTCCATTGGTTGGCACACCATATGTAAACGGTTCAACATATCGTAAATGGAATTTAACTTTACCACAATTGGCTACGCTATATCGTTTGGCCAATCAATTGCTAACCGATTTGGTGGATTCGAATTTCTTTTATTTATTTGACCCCAAAAGTTTTTTCACCGCCAAAGCTTTGAATATGGCCATACCCGGTGGTCCCAAATTTGAACCTTTAATTAAAGATCATAATGTGGGGTGAGTTGAAAATACAAAATTAATAATTGGTTTGCAATACTTAATTTTTTGTTTTCTTATGTTTAAATTTTTAGAGATGAAGATTGGAATGAATTCAATGATATTAACAAAGTCATTATACGTCAACCAATTCGTACGGAATATAGAATTGCATTTCCATATTTATACAATAATATGCCACATTTTGTACATTTGTCGTGGTAAGTAAATAAAAAAAAAACATCTTTATAATATTATTACCTTTTTTGTACACCAAGTCACTTTATAACCAAAGTCAAAATCCAAAGTCTTGATTTTGAACTTAAAAATGAGGTGATATAAAAAAACCCCCTTATAAGAAAATAATTACTACCAAAATTGTATTAAAAAATACAACTAAAAAATTAGAAAACCTAAAGGTGACTTGTTGACGCAAGTGTCTATTTTATAAAATTGGAAATTTACGCTGCTGGACAAGTCGGACATTATCTTTATATATTATTGTTATTTTTTAAAAACTGTACACATTAGCATACACTAAAAAACACGTTTATGTACGTCTATTTTATAAAATTGGAGATTTACGCTGCTGGACAATTCGGACATTATCTTTATATATTATTATTTTTTTTAAAAACTGTACACATTAACATACATTAAAAAACACTTTTATTTATCAAAACCAACATGTTTTCCTTATATTTTTTATCAAATATTTCTAATAGTTGTATTATATTTTAAATAATTACTGAAGTTACTAATCCATTATTTTCAGTTTTTTAAGTCTAAACCATTTTATAATTTTCTTTATACAGGTATCACACCCCCAATGTGGTCTATATCAAAACAGAAGATCCTGATTTGCCAGCCTTTTATTTTGATCCCCTTATTAATCCCATATCCCATCGTCATGCTAATGTTGTTAAAATACCTGAACCATTGCCAGATGATGATGAAGATTTTTCACTGCCTGAAGAAGTACAGCCATTTCTGCAGGACACACCCCTATATACTGACAACACAGCCAATGGTATTGCATTATTATGGGCCCCTAGACCATTTAATTTGCGGTCAGGACGTTGTCGTCGAGCAATTGATATTCCATTGGTTAAGAGTTGGTATAAAGAACATTGTCCACCCGGACATCCGGTTAAGGTACGTGTCAGTTATCAAAAGTTACTGAAATATTATGTGCTGAATGCATTGAAACATCGTCGACCTAAGCCACAAAGAAAACGGTAAGTTTGAGTTTATTTTTATTTAGTTTTCTTTTTTTCTAATGATTTTTTTGTGTTTTTTGATTTGTAGCTACCTTTTCCGTTCCTTTAAATCCACCAAATTCTTCCAAACAACTACTTTGGATTGGGTTGAGGCTGGTCTGCAAGTTTGCCGCCAGGGTTATAATATGTTGAATCTATTGATCCATCGTAAAAATTTAAACTATTTACATTTGGATTATAATTTCAATTTGAAACCCGTTAAAACCTTGACCACCAAGGAACGTAAAAAGAGTCGATTTGGTAATGGTAAGTACACTAACCCAGACTATCTTGCAAATATTCAACAGTTAATTGTTTTTTTCATCACATTTATGCAGCCTTCCATTTGTGTCGAGAAATCCTGCGCCTCACTAAATTAATTATTGATTCCCATGTTCAATATCGTCTCAACAATGTGGATGCTTTTCAATTGGCCGATGGTCTGCAGTATATTTTTGCTCATGTCGGCCAATTGACAGGCATGTATCGTTATAAATACAAACTTATGAGGCAAATAAGAATGTGCAAGGATTTGAAGCATTTAATCTATTATCGCTTTAATACGGTAAATAAATTTATTACTTCAAGATTTGGTGGGAATGTATAGGACTTACGATATCTATTTTTCGTTTTTTTTTTCGTTACAGGGCCCCGTAGGCAAAGGTCCTGGTTGTGGTTTCTGGGCCCCAGGATGGCGTGTTTGGCTATTCTTTATGCGTGGCATAACTCCCCTTTTGGAACGTTGGTTGGGTAATTTACTTTCCCGTCAATTTGAGGGTCGTCACTCTAAGGGTGTTGCCAAAACTGTAACCAAACAACGTGTTGAATCACATTTCGATTTGGAATTGAGAGCCTCAGTTATGCACGATATTGTAGATATGATGCCTGAGGGTATTAAACAAAACAAGGCCAGAACAATTTTACAACATTTGTCCGAGGCTTGGCGTTGTTGGAAAGCCAATATTCCTTGGAAAGTTCCCGGCCTACCCATACCTATTGAAAATATGATATTACGTTATGTTAAAATGAAAGCTGATTGGTGGACAAATACGGCTCACTACAATCGCGAACGTATACGACGTGGTGCCACCGTCGATAAAACGGTGTGCAAAAAAAATTTGGGTCGTTTGACACGTTTGTACTTAAAGGCCGAACAGGAAAGACAGCACAACTATTTAAAAGATGGTCCATATATTTCACCCGAAGAAGCTGTTGCGATTTATACCACCACCGTACATTGGTTGGAGTCGAGACGATTTGGTCCCATCCCCTTTCCACCGCTGTCCTATAAACATGACACTAAACTTTTGATTTTGGCCTTGGAACGTTTGAAAGAAGCGTACAGCGTAAAATCACGTTTAAATCAAAGTCAACGTGAAGAATTGGGTCTCATTGAACAGGCTTATGATAACCCCCATGAAGCTTTGTCACGTATCAAAAGACATTTGTTAACGCAGCGTGCATTCAAAGAAGTTGGTATAGAATTTATGGATCTTTATAGTCATCTTATACCGGTATACGATGTCGAACCATTGGAAAAGATTACCGATGCCTATTTGGATCAATATCTGTGGTATGAGGCAGATAAGAGACGTCTATTCCCGCCATGGATAAAACCAAGTGATACTGAACCACCACCATTGTTGGCCTATAAGTGGTGTCAAGGTATGTACGAAAATTTGATATCTATTTGGAAAGGTGTGTGGAAGTGAAAGTGCTACAATTGCGCCTACTCTTCGTGTGATTTGAAGCAAGGTGATTTGTAATTGAAATCCCCTTGTTGCAAACCTCACGCTGATTTGGTGTCTACAACAACATGGTGAAATAAACTGCTGCGAAAGTACAAAAATATAATTCAGAATATCAAATTAAATGTCAGTGTGTAGATAGACTATATTCGGATTACAGAGAAGTATTCAAAAATATTTTTAATATCACCTATAAACAAATTTCCAAATTTAGACATATGTATATATGAAGATGCTCTATTGAAGGAGGAATTTGTGTAGCATGATTTGCAACACTTCGTACAATATTTTAGATTTTTGTATTTATTTGTTTTTAGTATCAATTTATAATTTTAATTTTTATTTATACGACTTGTGTATGATTGTCCTTCAGGTATTAACAATCTTCAAGACGTCTGGGATGTTGGTGAGGGTGAATGTAACGTTCTGCTAGAATCACGTTTCGAAAAGCTATATGAAAAAATCGATTTGACCCTGCTGAATCGTTTGTTACGTCTTATTGTCGATCATAACATTGCCGACTATATGACAGCTAAAAACAATGTGGTAATCAACTATAAGGATATGAATCATACCAACAGTTATGGCATTATACGTGGTCTACAATTCTCATCGTTTATAACACAATATTATGGTTTGGTATTGGATTTGTTAGTGTTGGGTCTGCATCGTGCCAGTGAAATGGCTGGACCACCACAAATGCCCAATGATTTTCTGACGTTCCAAGATACACAAACGGAAACAGCACATCCCATACGTTTATATTGTCGTTATGTTGATCGTATACATCTGTTCTTTAGATTTACCGCCGAAGAAGCTCGTGATTTGATACAGCGTTATTTAACCGAACATCCTGATCCGAATAATGAGAATATTGTTGGGTATAATAATAAGAAATGTTGGCCGCGTGATGCTCGTATGCGTCTGATGAAACATGATGTTAATTTGTAAGTTGAATATTTTAATTTTATTATAAAATTTGTTTCTATTTTAATTTTTGTATTCAGGGGCCGTGCCGTATTTTGGGATATCAAAAATCGTCTACCACGTTCTGTGACCACCATCAATTGGGAAAACACATTTGTCTCTGTCTATTCTAAGGATAATCCAAATCTGTTGTTTAATATGTGTGGCTTTGAATGCAGAATATTGCCAAAGGTTCCTTAACAAGAACAAAATTACCAAAGAGTTGATTTATAACTTCGTAATTGTTTCCTACATTTTAGTGTCGCACCCAAAACGAAGAATTCACCCACAGAGACGGTGTTTGGAATTTACAAAATGAAGTAACCAAAGAAAGAACAGCTCAGTGTTTCCTACGTGTGGATGATGAGTCTTTGGGACGGTTCCATAATCGTGTTAGGCAAATTTTAATGGCATCTGGTTCTACAACATTCACAAAGGTGAGGAACTACTTTACATTTTTTCTAAAGTGGATTTTAAAGATTGTTTTTCCCTCCTAAGATTGTCAACAAATGGAATACCGCTCTAATCGGTCTCATGACCTATTTCCGTGAGGCTGTTGTCAACACCCAAGAATTATTGGATTTGCTGGTGAAATGTGAAAACAAAATTCAAACACGTATCAAGATTGGTTTGAACTCAAAAATGCCTTCACGTTTTCCACCCGTGGTGTTTTATACACCCAAAGAGTTGGGTGGTTTGGGTATGTTGAGTATGGGTCATGTGTTGATACCTCAATCGGATTTGAGATGGTCCAAACAAACCGATGTGGGAATTACTCATTTCAGATCGGGTAAGTAATTTTTTAATTGTAACAGTATTTAATAATACTTTTCTGTATTTGTCTTCTTTTTTTCAATTTCAGGTATGTCTCACGACGAAGATCAATTGATACCAAATCTTTATCGTTATATACAGCCGTGGGAAAGTGAATTTATCGATTCACAACGTGTTTGGGCCGAATATGCCTTGAAACGTCAAGAAGCCAGCACACAAAACCGTCGCTTAACATTGGAAGATTTGGAGGACAGTTGGGATCGTGGTATACCTCGTATCAATACGCTTTTCCAAAAGGATCGCCACACCCTGGCCTATGACAAAGGATGGCGTATTCGTACCGAATTCAAACAATATCAAGTACTCAAACAAAATCCCTTCTGGTGGACTCATCAAAGACACGATGGCAAGTTATGGAATTTGAATAATTATCGCACGGACATGATTCAGGCATTGGGTGGTGTTGAGGGTATTTTGGAACATACACTATTCAAGGGTACCTATTTCCCCACATGGGAAGGTCTGTTCTGGGAAAAGGCGTCCGGTTTTGAAGAGTCAATGAAATACAAAAAGCTGACAAATGCCCAAAGATCCGGTTTGAATCAAATCCCCAATCGTCGTTTCACCTTGTGGTGGTCACCGACAATTAATCGTGCCAATGTCTATGTTGGTTTCCAAGTACAATTGGACTTGACTGGTATTTTCATGCACGGTAAAATCCCCACATTGAAAATTTCCCTCATTCAAATCTTCAGAGCCCATTTATGGCAGAAAATACACGAGTCTATTGTCATGGATTTGTGTCAGGTATTCGATCAAGAGTTGGATGCTTTGGAAATTGAAACCGTACAAAAAGAGACTATACATCCACGTAAATCCTATAAAATGAATTCGTCGTGTGCTGATATTTTACTTTTCCCCGCCTATAAATGGAATGTTTCACGACCATCGTTGCTGGCCGACACTAAAGACACAATGGATAACACGACCACCCAGAAATATTGGTTAGATATACAATTGAGATGGGGTGATTATGATTCACATGATGTAGAACGTTATGCCAGGGCCAAGTTCTTGGATTACACCACAGATAATATGTCCATATATCCGTCGCCAACGGGTGTCCTAATAGCCATTGATTTGGCTTATAATTTACATTCGGCATATGGTAATTGGTTCCCGGGAAGTAAGACATTAATACAACAGGCCATGGCGAAAATCATGAAAGCCAACCCGGCTTTGTATGTGTTGAGAGAACGTATACGCAAGGCACTGCAGTTGTATTCCTCAGAACCCACGGAACCCTATTTGAGTTCTCAAAACTATGGTGAATTGTTTAGCAATCAAATTATTTGGTTTGTGGACGACACGAATGTGTACCGTGTCACCATACACAAAACATTTGAGGGTAACTTGACCACCAAACCCATTAACGGTGCAATTTTCATATTTAATCCACGTACCGGTCAACTATTCTTGAAGATTATTCACACCTCAGTGTGGGCGGGTCAAAAACGTTTGGGTCAATTGGCCAAATGGAAGACAGCCGAAGAAGTTGCCGCCTTAATTCGATCCCTACCGGTGGAAGAACAGCCCAAACAAATTATTGTCACACGTAAGGGTATGTTGGATCCGTTGGAAGTGCATTTGTTAGATTTCCCCAATATTGTCATCAAAGGCTCTGAATTGCAGTTGCCCTTCCAGGCCTGTTTGAAGGTAGAGAAGTTTGGCGATTTGATTCTGAAAGCCACTGAGCCTCAGATGGTATTATTCAATCTCTATGATGATTGGTTGAAAACAATTTCCTCCTATACCGCCTTCAGTCGTCTGATATTGATTTTGAGAGCACTCCATGTGAACACTGAGAGGACAAAAATTATTTTGAAACCTGATAAGACCACCATTACCGAAGCTCATCACATCTGGCCAACACTGACCGATGAAGAATGGATTAAAGTGGAGGTGCAACTTAAAGATTTAATCCTGGCCGATTATGGTAAAAAGAACAATGTCAACGTTGCCTCTCTGACACAATCCGAAATTCGTGATATTATCTTGGGTATGGAAATAAGTGCTCCATCGGCGCAGAGACAACAGATTGCCGAAATTGAAAAACAAACCAAGGAACAAAATCAATTGACTGCTACCACCACCAGAACAACAAACAAACATGGTGACGAAATCATAACCTCCACTACCTCAAATTATGAAACTCAAACGTTCAGCTCGAAAACTGAATGGCGTGTGCGAGCCATTTCAGCCACTAATTTACATTTGCGAACAAATCACATCTACGTTTCGTCTGATGATATCAAAGAAACCGGCTATACTTATATTCTACCCAAGAATATTCTCAAGAAATTTGTGACCATATCCGATTTAAGAGCTCAAATTGCCGGCTATCTTTACGGGGTTAGTCCACCTGATAATCCACAAGTTAAGGAGATACGTTGTATTGTTATGCCGCCACAATGGGGTACCCATCAGACCATCAATTTACCCAATAGCCTGCCCACACATCAATATCTCAAAGATATGGAACCGTTGGGATGGATACACACGCAACCCAATGAATTGCCCCAGCTATCACCGCAAGACATTACAACACATGCCAAAATAATGCAAGAAAATTCCACCTGGGATGGTGAAAAAACAATTATTATTACATGTTCATTCACACCTGGATCTTGTTCGCTAACCGCTTACAAATTAACACCATCCGGTTTTGAATGGGGCTCCAAGAACACCGACAAGGGCAACAATCCCAAGGGCTATCTGCCCTCACACTACGAACGTGTACAAATGTTGCTATCGAATAAATTCCTTGGTTTCTTTATGGTTCCTGCCCAAGGCAGTTGGAACTATAATTTTATGGGTGTACGGCATGATCCCAATATGAAATATGAACTACAATTGGCAAATCCTAAGGAATTCTATCATGAAATACATCGGCCATCACACTTTTTACTATTTGCCAATCTGGAAGATGGCGGTGATGGTTCGGGTGCAGATCGTGAAGATGTTTTTTCGTAGTTTGGCGTTTCCACCACCACCATTACCCCCTTCATACAATATCATAATAGTAATAATAATAAAGTGTAGCTATTAAGAGTTTAGTATCTAAACAAATTTAGTTATCGACTAAGAGGGGATTCTTTGTATTACGGGAAAAACAATAATTTGAATTTCTTTTGGAAAAAATGATGCTGTTTGGATTTGAAATTTTTTTACAAAGAAGAAGAGGAATCAGAATACAAGACTTTTGAATGCAACACAGTTCAATAAAAAGAAAATACAACATACATACATAGATTTGGCGCTTGTAAAGACTTCAGCAATTTTTGTTTTTCGTCAATATGATTTTTTGTTAAAATAAATTTTAAAAAATTATAATAAAAAATTAACAACAAAATTTAGTATAAATTCCTAAAGATCATTTATTTAGTCATCGCCTATAAAGAGCAGAGCTGAATGCAACAAATGCATCTACGGCCGGTTCAATGCACCGGATTGACTCGGAGAAAACTCTGACCAGAGGCTGCTCAGCAACGACAGGTTAGAGGTTGTAAAAAGTGGAGGGACATTTTTTCTCTGGGAGGCCAAATTGGAGTCAAATAGTCAAATTTTGTGCTATAATTCATTTAAAGGGGGCTTCAAAACGCTGTACTCAACAGCAACCCAATATGCAGCATTTAACACCGAACGTTACTGTTCCTACTCCTGATAATGCATAGTTCCTGAAATTTAATTGCAACGGTCTTCGAGGAGAAATAGACGAGATAGTAGACTTCATGAATCGGAAAAATATCGTGGCCGCCCGATTTCATTATCTCTGAACGCCGCACTTTCGTTAACTATAGGAAAGCCAACTGGCAAGGATTCAGAGAGTTCACTAAACAGTGTTTCGGAAAACTCCATTCCTTTTGATGTACGGGAAGCAGAAAGGAAATTACGAGACATCAATACAGCTGCAGCGACTAGATTTATACCTGCTGGTCGAATACCCGAGATGAGACCTAATTTCCCAGCAGAAACAGTTGGTCTAGCAAATAATCGTGATGAGTTCTGTTGATCTAATCCAGCAGATCCCGGGGTCAGGGAACTTACGTTGGAAGTCAGCAGGTTAATCGCGGAGCATAAGCGGAATAAATGGTTGGAGCACCTGAAGAGTTGCAACATCGGTACCGCACAAACTACCCCAAAAATTCTCGGGGTCACTTTCGACAGCATGTTCAAAAAGTCGGCGCAAACCAAAGCTATCTGTGATAAGCTGACAAGTGGGAAGAAGGTCCTCAAGAAAACCTTGCTTACCTCATGCCATCGATAGATAGATTTGTGGCCAGCTATGCGGTACCGACAGAGAGCCTGCAAAAAGGCCTCCAAGAAGGCTGATTAGGCAAACCTCCCTCTCGAAACCGATATCCAACCGGTTGTGACAATTGGGCAGTTGTTGGTGGATGCGCCAAAGGTAGCGAGCGCAAAGTAGGTTCCTGCGTCGGCTGGGCCTATCTCTGCGGCGATTGTGACCCCGGGAGCCGAATCTCGATCACAGCCCACATCTTTGAAGAGAATGAGTTCCTCGGAGGAAAACCCCTGCTGCTAAGAGACCCACGCAGTCGTTGGTTGCAAAATGTTCTGCTTCGTTCGCGTCGGTAGTAGTGTCTAAGGAGAAACCTACTAAGAGCGGTGAGGGTGTGGTAAAAGTCAAACCCGCTGTTTTGAAACAGGTAGCCCAGCAACCTACAACGGCGCCTAGCGACTCCACATGAGGTACTGGATGATCTGCTATTAGCAATCATGGATCGAACTGACCCCGACGGGATTATCAGTGAAGATAAATGGTTGCTAGTCGACAGCTATTTGAAGGACTTCTTCTCCTGAAATTTGGTATTAAATTTGCTGTTAAAGTGTAGCATTGGGGTATGTAGGAAGTTTTGGAAATTTATACTTATGAGTACTAAATGGAACTAAATTTGATACAATTTTGATTTAGAGTGAGTCGATAGAGCTAGAATCCGGAAATTTTTAATTATGATTATATTTGAGAGACTCTTAACCTCCTAGCAGAATCCCATTTCCCAGGTTGCTAAGATGTGGATACCATCAACATTGAATGTGATGACACTGAACCTCTTGCGACTATATATTTCGATCTCACTGGTAAGGTGGTTAGCAGAAATAATATACGCTGGGCAGTCAACACATTCAAACCATATAAATCACCAGGACCAGATGGTATCAATTTGCCTCTATACGTCGTGCTTGACTCTCTCGTGCGTTCCGGGCTTACTTACATTCCCAAAGCGGGTAAACCAAGTCACTCTGCACCAAAGGACTATAGACCCATTAGCCTATCATCCTTTCTCCTCAAGACTCTCGAAAGATTGGAGACACCACCTCTCCTAGCAATTCGCAGCACTCATAATGAAAGGCAAGTAATTGATATTGAGAGGAATATGGAAAACTCATACTTTACGTTGGTCGCCTTTCTATATATAGAAGGAGCTATTAATAACGTTAAACTTGAGTCCGTAAACCACTCACTTAAAATAGTTAACATTCCTGAAACCCTTACTTGCTGGATAGATAAAATCCTAAATAGCAGAATTATAAATTCAAATGTGGGGGATACGGAAATCAGGAAAACAGTAACAAGAGGTACTCCTCAGGGCGGGGTGCTCTCACCGTGGTTATGGTAAGGCTCATCCTTTCTTATGGTTATCTTGTTTGGTGGCACTGCTTGCGCCACAAGTCGACATCAAGCAAACTAGATAAGGTACAAAGAACCGGCTCGATTCTAATAACTGGAGCCGCGAGAAGTTCCCCACAAGCTGTTCTGAACGCAATGCTGAACTTAAGCCCTCTGTGTCAGGCAGCGCGTAGTGCCCTAATGCTGCATAAACAAAATCTATGGCGAAATTGTACCTACGGGCACGGTTGTATCCTGTCTGAGCATTAAGTGTCAGGCAGCGCGTAGTGCCCTAAGGCTGCATAGACAAATGTATCCTGGTAGGACATTGAACCAACGCGTAAAACTAAGCGACTATATATCAAAAGTCCTGAGATTTGACGATGTAGATGTCGTTATTCCTGGTAGAGACGACTAGACCCGTAGCAACTATCCTCTGGACGGCCTGGCTTTTTATACAGACGGATCCAAGATGGAAGAAAGTACTGATAGCAACTGTAGTGTTTTTCAAGCTAAAATCTTAGCTATTTGGAAGGCAGCGGAATTGATAAAAAATCTGAATGCAGAGATCGTTTAACCGGTGACTATCCTTGTGGATAGTCAGGCAGCTCTTAAAGCCATCAAATCCTGTAATATGAAATCTGAGGTCGTCCTCGAGTGTAGACAGTTTTGGAAACACTCACTTACAGCTATCGGCTGTGTTTGGTACCAGGACACCGTGACTTCATGGGTAATGAAAGAGCAGACGAATTAGCTAGACGAGGATCTCAATCTACAGATCTAGCAATCAAACCACCCATATGTCATCTATTTCAGAACTTAAGGGCCTTCTTCGACGAACGAGCCAATGAACTTTGGCACAACGAACCTAGATGCAATGTGTCAAGATCTGTTTGGCCGACTCTGTCTATCAGAAAGACACACTCACTGTTGAACCTGAGCAAAGCTGAAATTGGATTAATTACTGGAGTTATTACTGGTCATTGCCATATTAGGGCCTTTACCAGTAAATGGGACCATGATGTTACTGATTGCTGTAGACTCTGTGCTGACGAGAAGTAGACGGAGACAATTGAGCATCTCCTGTGTCGCTGTCCAGTTCTAGCTTACAGACGGCTCAGAATAGCGGGTGCTCACTTTCCACCGGCTCTAAGCTTCTTTTCAACTATGGAACCTGCTTTAATCCACAATATCATTAGAAACCTAAACTGGTTAGGAAAGTGCAATCTTAGCATGTAATTTTTTCGGAATAAGTTTTACAAAAAATACAAAGGGTAATAAATGATACCAAATTTAGTATAGGTTTCTGTTGCGGTCAGAATTTGTGAGTAGAGTTAAGATACCTCCATATTTTGGAAATACGTACTATAATAGAACATAGGTACTAAATGGTATTAACATTTTAATAATGTTCGGTATTGGTTTTTAAATAAGTCCCACATTCGTTAACGAAGTAGCGGGCATATGCTAGTATCCTAAAAATATTTTTATACTAAAAATTTTTTACGTGTTCTTTTTTGAAAAAAAAACTATTTTTTTCCTATGACAACTAGGCGTAGAATTTTTACAAATAATTTTTTCCAATGACAACTAGGTGTGGATTTTTTATAAATATTTTTTTCCAATGACAATTGGAAGTGCATATCTTATACATTTTTTGGGTATTGGTTTTTAAAAAATTCCAACATTCGCTAACGAAGTATCCTATCCTATGCTAGCATTATAAACTGTGGTATCATCCTAAAACTATTTTTATACTAAAATAATGGGTCGATTATGGAAAGCAACCAAACTCCAGTTGTGAGTTCAACTGGCAACGCAATTGAAATAAAACTTAACATTATGAATATCAACTTTTCTCAGTTGCTGTCGATAATACTGTTTTGACATTTCTACAACTAGAAATATTGTAAACAAAAAAAAAATGAATAAAATATATCAGAAAAGCTAATTATATATGATGATAAGCTCAGTGGAACTATTTTTTGATGATGAAAATTATTATTTGAAGGCATTTAAGAGATAAATCTATTAGAACTATTATCAGTTCTGTGAGTAGATGCTGACGTTCAATCAACAGCTCATATTAGCTTGAAGGCGTATTTTCGACTACCAAAAGATGCCGTTGTGTACTTAGATGAAGCCTTAAACCCTGATTTCCGAAAAGCCTGGCGGTCAACAGCAATTCCTCCTCTCTTAAAAATGTGTGCAGCTCTGATGTTTTTTGTGGAGGGAAGTTTTCAAAAGTCCCATAGCAATGACTTCAACCTTGGCATGGCTCAACCGACAATGTCGGTGGTTTTCGCCGAAGTTATCCGGATAATAGAGGAAAAACTCTGTAAAATGTTGATTGTATCTAATTAACGGAGGAGGAAAAATGGAAGAATAAAATTTTTTATTCGAAAACTAAGTTCCAGGGTGTTGTCGGATGTATTGATGATACACACGTACATATCATGGACCCAAAAGAAGATGTTCACCACTTTCAGCCATTCTTTTGGAATGCCATAGCAGTTAAGGTCTTCTGAAATGGCCTTCAACACATCATCGATAGTGGCTTTGGTTTGACCAAAAGTCCGCACGCCGCGTGCTACATTTGGGTGAGCTTCCATCCGGGCAATAAGGACCTCAAATTGTTCTTTTGTAGTAATATTAACCATTATGGGAAGCCTACAAAGTTCAGTTATTATTAGACCTCGGATTTTGCATATTTGCATATTTTTTAATAATGAAGATATCGAAATTCTGATTGGATACAAATTCGTTTCAAAGGATTTAGAATTATTTGAAGGGTTCATATTTTTTAATTTTTTGCATATTTGCATATTTTGCATATGCACGAGATATGCAAAAAATATGCAAAATATGCAAAAAATATGCAAAATATGCAAAAAATATGCAAAATATGCAAAAAATATGCAAAATATGCAAAAAATATGCAAAATATGCAAAATATATGCAAAATATGCAAAAAATATGCAAAATATGCTAGGTCGATATGCAATAAATATGCAAAATATATGTATAAAATATGCAAAATATGCAAAATATATGCTAAAATATGCAAAATATTCAAAAAATATGCACGGCATGCTAGGTCGATATGCGATAAATATGAAAAATATATGCAAGAATATGCAAAAAATATGCACGGTATGCTAGGTCGATATGCAATAAATATGCAAAAATATGCAAAATATGCAAACATATGCAAAATATGCAAAAATATGCAAAATATGCAAACATATGCAAAAAATATGCACGGTATGCTAGGTCGATATGCAAAATATGCAAAAATATGCAAAATATGCAAAAATATGCAAAATATGCAAAAATATGCAAAATATGCAGACATATGCAAAATGCAAAATATGCAAAAATATGCAAAATATGCAGACATATGCAAAATGCAAAATATGCAAAAATATGCAAAAAAAAACAAAAATATGCAAAAAAAGCAAAAATATGCAAAACATATGCAAAATATGCAAAAATATGCAAAATATGCAAAATATGCAAAAATATGCAAAATATATGCAATAAATATGCAAAATATATGTATAAAATATGCAAAATATATGCAAGAATATGCAAAAAATATGCACGGTATGCTAGGTCGATATGCAATAAATATGCAAAAATATGCAAAATATATGCAAGAATATGCAAAAAATATGCACGGTATGCTAAATATGCAAAAATATGCAAAATATATGCAAAATATATGCAAAATATGCAAACATATGCAAAATATGCAAAAATATGCAAAATATGCAAAATATATGCAAAATATGCAAACATATGCAAAAAATATGCACGGTATGCTAGGTCGATATGCAAAATATGCAAAAATATGCAAAATATGCAAAAATATGCAGACATATGCAAAATATGCAAAATGCAAAATATGCAAAATGCAAAATATGCAAAAATATGCAAAAAAGCAAAAATATGCAAATCATATGCAAAATATGCAAAAATATGCAAAATATGCAAAAATATGCAAAATATGCAAAAATATGTGCAAATATGAGCTACATATATCACATATGCAATCATTTTAATCAACAAAAAAAAAAAAAAAATTCATGGTAGTTTTTGAATTTGTGTGCTTTCTTTATTTTTAACCTATAGAAAACTAATTGTGTATGTATGCGTTTTATGGTTCAACTGTTAGATTTTTGGGGCATTATTTGCATATTTTGCATATTTTTGCTTTTTTTGCATATTTTTGCATATATTTTGCATATTTTGCATATTTAGCATATATTTTGCATATGTTTGCATATTTTGCATATTTTTGCATATTTTGCATATTTTTGCATATTTTGCATATTTTTGCATATTTTTGCATATTTTGCATATTTTGCATATTTTTGCATATTTTTGCATATTTTTGCATATTTTGCATATTTTTGCATATTTTTGCATATTTTTGCATATTTTGCATATTTTTGCATATTTTGTATATGTTTTGCATATGTTTTGCATATGTTTTGCATATTTTTGCATATTTTGCATATGTCTGCATATTTTGCATATATTTTGCATATTTTTGCATATTTTGCATATCGACAATGCATATTTTGTATATTTTTTGCATATATTTATCGCATATCGACCTAGCATACCGTGCATATTTTTTGCATATTTTGCATATTTTTGCATATTTTGCATATTTTTTGCATATTTTGCATATTTTTTGCATATTTTGCATATTTTTTGCATATTTTGCATATTTTTTGCATATTTTGCATATTTTTTGCATATTTTGCATATTTTTTGCATATATTTTGCATATTTTTTGCATATATTTTGCATATGTTTGCATATTTTGCACATTTTTGCATATTTTGCATATTTTGCATATTTTTGCATATTTTTGCATATTTTGCATATTTTTGCATATTTTTGCATATTTTGCATATTTTTGCATATTTTGCATATTTTGCATATTTTTGCATATTTTGCATATCGACAATGCATATTTTGTATATTTTTTGCATATATTTATCGCATATCGACCTAGCATACCGTGCATATTTTTTGCATATTTTGCATATTTTTGCATATTTTTGCATATTTTGCATATTTTTTGCATATTTTTGCATATTTTGCATATGTTTGCATATTTTGCATATGTTTGCATATTTTGCATATATTTTGCATATGTTTGCATATTTTGCATATTTTTGCATATTTTGCATATTTTTGCATATTTTTGCATATTTTGCATATTTTGCATATTTTTGCATATTTTTGCATATTTTGCATATTTTTGCATATTTTTGCATATTTTGCATATTTTTGCATATTTTGTATATGTTTTGCATATGTTTTGCATATGTTTTGCATATGTTTTGCATATTTTTGCATATTTTGCATATGTCTGCATATTTTGCATATATTTTGCATATTTTTGCATATTTTGCATATCGACAATGCATATTTTGTATATTTTTTGCATATATTTATCGCATATCGACCTAGCATACCGTGCATATTTTTTGCATATTTTGCATATTTTTGCATATTTTGCATATTTTTTGCATATTTTGCATATTTTTTGCATATTTTGCATATTTTTTGCATATTTTGCATATTTTTTGCATATTTTGCATATTTTTTGCATATTTTGCATATTTTTTGCATATATTTTGCATATTTTTTGCATATATTTTGCATATTTTTTGCATATTTTTTGCATATTTTTGACATGACCCCAAATATCGATCAATTAAAGCATGAAACGCCTAAATACAAAATTTGAGTCCAATCGGATAAAGCATAAAAAATATGCAAAAATCCGAGGTCTAGTTATTATAAACAGCAACCAGAAATAAATGGTTGCCGAAAAATTCTATTTGAAGCAACTGAAGTTGACAACAGTTGCCATCCATAATGCAAATTTGGCAACTGGCAACGCAACTAAACTCTGGTTGCCATCCGTAATCGACCCATAATTTTTACGTGCTCTTTTTTGAAAAAATAACGTTTTTTTAAATCTTCCCATAAATACAATCCCCTCCCATAAAAAATGTGCAACGACAACTGTTGCAATTTTGTTTATTTTTCTCTTGCTCACATTGCCATGGTGTGTACTAAAAAAATAATCACCATAACAACATAGATTTTTATTTATTTATATGTATAAAAATAAATATATTACTCTATAGAATTATTATTATTATTTATGTATATATAAGAAGAAGAAAAAAGAACTATTACAATAGGTACATGTATTTCAAAGATTTCAAAAGTATTTGATTATCTCAAGGCCTATATATACATATATATTCCGAATTGAAAATTTGAATGTACATAAAAACAGATTTATTACAAAGAAGTTGTGATTATCTCGAAATATGTGTGAGTAAAAACAGAAAATCTTATATTATACTAAGAGCACTTCCACAATAGTATTGCTAAATTTCCGGCAAAAAATAAATACAATATATTTTTCGTTTCATAGGTAATTTCAAAACCGAAACCTTCGCCCACAACAACATGCCAATAAATGCCAAATTTTTTATCCATTGCTTCTTTGATAATGCGTGCAGCTTGCTAAAGAAATTGAAAATCATTTTTATTAAAGTATTCAATTTCAAATAGACGTAGTTCGGCTTACCTCATAGTTTGAAGAATATTTTTCACAGGCTGTTATGCTTAGCTCAATGGCCTCGGTACGCATTTCTTCATTCATGTCTGAATGCTGGAAATTTTATGCCAATATTATTATTTTTTAATTTCACATTTTGATTTCAATATTTAAATCAATTTTTACCTTGACTAGGGGATAAACATGCACTATTTTCTTATCGGCTTCCTTTTCCGGATTCCCGCCATCATCACCCATTTTTATTTATTTTTTTGTTAACAGATTTTCTCAAAATTTTTATTTCAATATTTCAAAAATTGTCTTTTTTTAATTTCGATCGGTTTTTATTTTTAAAAATAAAATCCAGTGCGTCACCAAGTTTTCGACACACATTAACAACTCCTTTACTTTATTGCAACTGACTGTCGGTTGCCTCTTAACTTTTAACTTCCCTTGAAGTTTTTTTTGTGGTTGCGTTTGTATATGCGAGTGTGTGTGTGCATGTGTGTTTGCGTTTATTGTTTTGTTTTTCCTTTTATTGGCGCTGAAGTCCTGTTGTCATCAAATCATTCACCACACAAAATCCTTGAATGCTTCTTAGCAAGAGCAGGGTGTATTTAGTTTGTCATATTGTTTGTTATCATGTTTGATTTTGCAATAGTGGGAGGGATGATCCAAAAAGAGAGAATAGCGAAAAATATTTTATAACCTTAAAATATTTATTTTCTAAAATAAGAATAAAAAATAACAAAATAAAAAAAATAAATATTTATCCAAGTCGTGGAAATATTTTTCCAAATGACCTTGAATTTTAAAATTATTTTTCAAGGACCATTATACCGGGATTTTTTAATGGACCATTATGCCTGGATTTTTTATAAATATTTTTCCATGGACCATTAAGTGCGGATTTCTTAATAGTTTTTCTCATGACAACTAGGCGTGGATTTTTTTATAAATAATGTTTTCCAATGACAACTAGGCGTGGATCTTTTATAAATAATTTTTTCCAATGACAACTAGGCGGGGATTTTTTAAAAATATTTTTTCTCTGCGTGTATTTTATAAAAATATTTTATTTTTTGGATCTATTTGCCGTGAATTTTTTATAAATATTTTTTCCTTGAGATCTATTCTGCGTGGATTTTATATTTTATTAGCATATGCCCGCTACTTCGTTAGCGAATGTGGAATATATTTTAACATGTATTAACATATTATTTTATCTTCACAGAAAACTGCATATGTCAGAAAAACTAAGCTACCCACACATTAATATCGACCATAAATTAAATATGAGTACCATTTAGTACCAAATTTCATGATTCGAGCTCTACAGGTTCAGTCAAATTCAAATTGTACCAAATATTTTATAAAAATATTTTATTTTTTAGATCTATTTGCCGTGAATTTTTTATAAATATTTTTTTCTTGAGATCTATTCTGCGTGGATTTTATATTTTATTAGCATATGCCCGCTACTTCGTTAGCGAATGTGGAATATATTTTAACATGTATTAACATATTATTTTATCTTCACAGAAAACTGCATATGTCAGAAAAACTAAGCTATCCACACATTAATATCGACCATAAATTAAATATGAGTACCATTTAGTACCAAATTTCATGATTCGAGCTCTACAGGTTCAGTCAAATTCAAATTGTACCAAATATAGCACACATTGTTTCCAAGAGTACCCACCCACAACCATCCGGTCCTACACCCTAACAATGATTCCAAATACAAATTTCCGGATTCCAAGTCAATGGTTCACCAACAATTTAAATTTTACACAATAGTACGAATTTCCAATACTTCCCACTTAACCCAAACCCACATCCGCACAGTTATCCTAAACCCAAATTTATCGATTCATCCAGAATTCAATTTGTACCAAATTTAGTACACAGTAGTACCAATTTCCAAAATCTCCTACTTACCCCAAACCTTCGCCCCCTCAGTGATCCTAAATCCAAGTTTCAGGATTCCAATTCTATTCCAATTTAAATTGTACCAAATGCAGTACACATTAGTAACAATTTTTAAAACTTCCTACATATCTCGATCTTACACCTCAACAGTGATCATGATTCTAGCTCTATTGGTTCACCTAAAATTCAAATTGTACCAAATTTAGTAACATTTAGTACTCATGAATATTAATTGCTTAAACTGAATCCTGACCCCAATCCTACAGTGAGCCTGACTCCAAATTTCTTTGTTTATGCTCTATCGGTTCATCCAAATCCAAATTGTACCAATTATAGTACGATTTAGTACTTTTCGTACACATCAGCAAAAAATTTCCAAAACTACGTACATTCCTACACTCCGACGGTAATGTTAGGATTCCATCTGCCACATTAGGACCAAGAGTGATCCTTACTCAAAATTTCAAGATTCTAGCTTCAGCCGTTTCGCCTGTACGTTTATGAATGGTTAAGTCAGTCAATCACTTTACTCTTTTATTAGTAAAGATATTTTTTATGAATATTTTATTTTTTTTGGCTTAAAATTTTTATAAATTTTTTTGGGCAGCATTAGACGTGGATTTTTAATTGTGATTTTATATACAGAAGAACATTTTTGTAGTTTCTGTAAACAGGAGACTTTTGTTTTGTCTTATATGTTCTTCAAGATATATTTTCTTCAGGTCTTCAATCGACATGTAGCGTACATGACAATTCGTTGTCTGACAAACCTAAGTGTTGTGATTCAAAATTTGCAATTCCGCCGCTGTGGTGGGAGAAACGCATGCGCTCACAAACACCCACATCTTAGGTTGTCTTCACTTAAAACATTAATTATATGGGGATTTCCATATTAATTGTACTATAAAAATTTGTTTTGGGAATTTGTTTGAAAATTTTGTTTTACTAAAAATAAATCTCGAATAAAAAGTTTACAAAGAAAACGCCGTTTTGTATTGTGCTCTCTTAAATTTGATTCAATGTTTTACCAGTTTTGTGGAATCAGGTACGGTTTTCGAGTAAAAAGTTCTAAAACTTGTATAATTAGTAGATTCTTTTAGGTTCTGGAACGGAACTAAAGTTAAATTCTTAAAAAAAATTTACAATTTTTATTTAAAAAAATAAATGCAATAAATGATTAATATCTTGACTATAATTCCGTATTATGGCTTCAATTATATTTTAATAATGTTCTTAAATTTAAATTTTCTTTATTTGTCGAGTTTTTAGTAAAATTATAAAACAAAAATTAAACATATTTCTTTCGCTTTTCTTTATTTCCTGCCACACAGTAGATCTATTATTATTTTTCTTGCTTTCAAAACTTCCCATATCTTGTGCCATGGAATAACCCATATTCACTTAAGCACAAAGCGGAAGTATGAGCACAACACACTCATTCATTGAAAAAAAAGAAAACAACAAACCCCTCCAATGCAATGTTTGCAAATTTCCATGACCCACCATCCATTCACCCTTAAATAGCTTCTTTGGCAAAAGGATCACAACAACAATAATGGTAGTGGCCGTCTGACAAATTTTTCACATATTTCCTATAATACACACAACATGATAAATAAATCTACTGTTGATTTGAATGCACCAAATTGTTTTGCAACATAAATGTTTGTATGGTATCTCTCCCATATATCCACTTGAGCACAAAGCGGAAATGTAATCCCAACAACACATGCAGTAAATAAAAACGACGACACACTTTCACCCTTAAAATGGCAAGGATCGCAGCAATATTAATGACCATGACTATTTAAAAATTGAAAGCAAAATTATCTTTTATATATTTTATTGTGATGTCCACTCTTGATTTCATTAATTAAAAATGAGTCCATTAGGTGTGTGGCTGTGTGATTGGAAATAACGACCCTCAAAGTAATCAACCCCTTAATATGGTCATCAATTGTGAACATTATTCTACTAGGCATTATTTTCAATTCATTTTCTACTCAAATCTTCTAAACAAAATAAATAACTCAAATAAATATTTATTACATTATTTATATAATAGACATTTTGTTTAAAAATGACTTAAATTAATTTTTACCAGAAAAATTTCCAGTGTTGTATTTCTAATATAAGAGTCACCCTGTGTCATTGAATGTCACTTGACGGCGTTGAAAACATTCCGATGCGGCTACCTTTGTTGTGGCGCATCATATGTTGCTATGAAAGATATGACAGTGAATAAAATAAAAGTAATCGCCGTATCCAAGGTATATTTATTAAAAAAAGCAATGCAGCAGGGAAGTTTGCGTTGAAAACATAGATAGACGAGACTTTGTTGTGGCGCGTCAAAAGAGCTCAGAATTGCCGTATCGTTGCTGGCGTATATGATAGTCATATGTTGCTATGAAAATATGACAGTGAATAAAATAAAAGTAATCGGTCCTGTTTTTTTGGATATTGCAATATTAAAAAAAGCATTATGCAGCAGGGAAGTTTAATATGTTTTCACGCAGTTGAATATACAGCCTTATTCTGAATCAGTGTTGCCGTAAGTAAGATAAAATGTGATGATATGTTTTTTATTAAATTAATAAAAAACATTTACATGAATGATCCTTCGCCCTAAAAAGGCATAAAACTAAAAAATTCAGCTTGAGCCCGGCTAGGATTTGAACCCTGGTTCCCATGGCATCTGTTGATTGTTGCCCGGCGCCTTAGCGTTCAAAGCCACCTCCTTATTTTCCTAAGGTTGCACAGTATGCAGTTGTATACCATTGAAGACAAAATATTGTATTCTGTATGGGAAAAAAGTCCGTCACTACAATAAAAATCTGCTCTGAAAAGGAATGTTCTGGTGTGATGCCAAAATTCCGAACCTTGACACGGTTGAATTTAATTCGTAGATGCAATTTCGCAACAATATTCGACTTAAATACAACTTATCAAGTAACGACATTTGTAAGCCACATTGCCCAATATGCCTGATGAGCCGCTTAACCAACGGCGAAACGCGTCGCATTATGGTGGGTTTCCTTTTCATTACAAACTCCGATCATGTAGCTCATCTCGAAAGAGAAATTATTAAAAAAAAAGTAAAATGTTTTAATAAAAAATCAATAAATAAAATATTGGGCAATATTGCAATTGGCCAACACACATTACAACTTAAATTACAATATGACAAAACGAATCAACCAAAACTTTCGAAAATTAGAACCCGCATCTCGCATTTTTTGCTTTTCCCTATTCCTTGAAAATAAGGCGATAGTGTGAAGGCGAAACATTTTTCACAAGCGAAATTTTTCCCTAGCGAATATCCAGAATAAGGCTGATCATTTCGTCTAAAGTGGTGTACATAGTTAACTTTTTGTTATTTACCACGAGTGTAACCTTCGTATAATAAAATATAGGATATCGTGAGGTGAATTTCAAAAAGCCACTATCTAGGTATTGGCTTTCAAATCAGAATAAATAAATTATAAATACAATATAAAATGCGAAAAAATGAAATCTCAGATTTTCTTCCCAAAATCGAGTTGGGAATATAATTTAAATACATATTTATCCCTATAATCATACATTTCTTCCCAACAGACGTTGTAAAATAGATCTCCTAATAAGAGAATATTATTTTATTTATGGAAACAATAAACACACAAGTAATCCAAATTAAATACATTGGTGTAAACGTGACCGTATTTTCTTAACAAAATCCCGCTTCATTTGCTTCCCCACAAAATCAGATGTTTTGGGAATTTCTTATCTAGATTACAGGTAGAAGAACTCATGAGTAACCACATGGAAGGAACGCCGTGGAATTGCAATTGACAATTTGACATTTCCTTCATTCTCCCAATTTTCGTGTGTATATGTTTTGGGTAATGGGCTCAGTTGTGTGGTGCGGTTGTGTGTGTGTTTATGAGAGAGACAACGAAAGATAGAAGCAAAAATAAAGTCCCATCATTTTTGTAAGTTTTTAGTGGTAAAATCAGTAAAATATTTTATAAAATTATGTAAAATCGTTAAATCAACAACTATTCGATAAGAAACAATAGAAATTATTACGGCCAATTACATTTATCCAAGGAAAAAAACATTTTCAATATGTGGCTAATCAAGTAAGAAGAAAAAGAAACCAAACCATTCGTGGAATGTGTGAAATGAAACGAACGAACAATGAAATAAGAAAACTGAAAACTGATTTTGACAATGTAACGTGCGTTTGTGTGCAGTAGCAGGAAAAAACATAATTTTCAGTGCAATTAAAATATTCTAAAGAAAGAAAATATGCATAAAATGGTTAGTGAGTGCTTTATATAAAAAAAGAAATAAAATATATGATGTGCCTGAAATCTGCATGGAAATTTCTCGTCTAGACCAGTCAATTTATTGTGTGAAGAAAAAAAGTAGTATCCATTAAAATGTTTAACACAAGAAATGAAAAAAAATCGTACATACATACAACCAAACATTGTGAGACACGGCCAGACAGACCGATTATCGGTCTGCAGAGTAGAGCTAGCAATTTTTTGTTTTGTTAAATTTCATTTCTCGCTCGGTGTTGTGTGTTTTTTCTACTTTTCGTTGTCGCTGTGTGAGGATGATGGGATTCAATTAAATGTAATGTTGTTTTTATAAATCAAATTAAAATATTTTTCGGCTGAATAAATATTAAAACTCTAGAAATAATTTGTAAATAGTGAAAAAAAACAACAACAATAACGAAAGCGTTTGCTGTGTTCTTGAAAACGGAAAGACCAACTAAAAACAAAATGGAATAATAATATAATTGATAATATTGTTAATGTTTTGCGTGTGTGTGTGCGCTCCAAAGGAATAACCAAACTTTGTTTTTGTTTGTCAAGATTCAGCAAGTCATAAATCCACAAATTTTCTTTACCAAAAGAAAAAAATAATACAACGAAATATGATAATGCCGAATATGTAACCGAATAATCATCGTTAGCACCGATAGTGTATGTTTTTGTTGTTCCCTTTTATTCGACATTTTCACATTTGCTTTGTGTGTTTTTTTTTTCTGTCTGTTTCTAAAGCGGTATTGTCGGCAGTTTTTGTGTGTGTTTTTTTACCCCCTCGATTTATGTGTGTTTGTCTTCAGTTCTCTCTCTCTCTCTCTCTCTTCCTCTATCCAAATAGGGTTTGCTTTGTTGTTGTTGTTGTTGCGAATGAAAACAAATTTATGTATATTTGGGGATTTTTTTATTCTTCATTTTTTAGAGGTTTGTCTTTGAATTGTTTCGTCGCTTTTTTATTTGTATTATATGTATTAGTAAATCTTAATGGGCCTATTGTAAAAAAAAAACAAAAACTTAATTACACTTTACATACATACAGACATAGACAAGAATTGCATGCCGACGACCTGTTTTTCTTTTATTAGTTAAGTTGTTGTCTGAAGGTAATATATTAGTAAGTTATTTATGTGTCAATTCCAAGATAATGTTTTTTAGTTTGCCTTTTGCCTGTTTCTGTTTATTTTATTCTGTCTGCCCTATGCATATTAGTGCATTTTTATTAGTAATAAGGGTAATATAATGGTGGCAAAGTTAATTTTAGCCAATGCAGATGCCGAGGGAAGAGCAAGGAGCCTCAAAATTTACTTTTATGAATTTGAAAACAAAACTGCGTTAAGCAGGCTCTCAATTCTTATTTATTTTATTTTCTAAATCATTGCATTCAAAAATGAAATTTAACCGTTTAACTAATTTTATTGTTGTTTTTTTTTCATGTTCTCTTTCCACCATGTTATATGTGAAACACCGTACAACCAACCAACAACATTTTATCTTCTCCACCACACGAACGAACCAACCAACCACTACGACTACTGACTGGCTGGTATATTCCACACATAAATGAAAACAATCGATGATTTGGATGTATGTACATGGATGTAGAAGTGAACAAACCAACACAAGACACATGTGAGAAGGTATCAAATGCAACCATAGAACCTTAACCAACCTAATCAACAACAAAAAGGAAATAAATCGCCAACAACAACATTACCAACACAGTAAAAAAACTTGATTACAGTAACAAAATAAATAAAGATTATTTATATACAACAACAGAGAAATAGCAAAAAAAAAAACTGCACAAAATTAGTACATTTGTCAACCAACTAAAGGCGCAGGGGAGTAAATTAACTAAACAACAACAACAAATGTCGTCTAACGAAGACATGTCAAATTGCGTTTAGAATTCCTATTCTCCGTTGCCGCTCTGCTGCTGCTTTGTGTCAACACAAAACGAGACCGAGAGAGATAACCCACAATACAGGAGAGAGTGTTGTGTGGCAAACACAGAGAAACAGAGACTTTAAACGTCTTCAAAATAAAAAAAAAATAACAAACAATAACCTACGTTCCTACGTTAAAAAAAAAAAACTTATAAAATAGAGACTGAATTGCTTTGAGACTCAATTACTCAAATAACATCCATCAAAGCAAGCAAACAAACTTCAGCAAATTCTTCTTCTTCTATCCAAACCTTGGTGTTTGACAATTTTTTGGCAAATGACAAGCAATTCCGTTGTATGTCAACTTAAGTCATATTGCAAGCACTACATACATGTAATGTGTCTGAATATCACCAAATTTCCAGAAACTAAACTACAAATAAAAATCTTTTGTTGAGGAAAAAAAGGCCATACAGGCAGGCGACAGTCCTGATAACTAAGACAAACACAAACAACACAACAAACAAACATACAACGCTTGCCACCAGGCAAAGTCGTCGTACATACCACAGAGATGGGTAAACGTGTTGTTGTTGAATCTCAAGAGCACCACCATCAAAATCATGTTACACCAGTTACAACCGGAGCACGTAGTATACGTAAACGTAAATGTAATTCAAATGGCAATGCTGGAGTTGTTGCCATCGCCACCACCACAACTTGTAATGATAAGATCATCAATAGCAGCAACAAAGCTCAACGTATAAGCTCTTCATCAGGCCATGAATGGCATGAAAACGATGACGAGGATTCATCATCAAATGATGGTCCATCGGAGTTAGCACAAACACCGCGTAATATCTCAAGTAAACAGGCCAATAATTCCTCGATACTCCTAAATAATTCCCTTAATATAAGTATTGCTCATGAACCGAATGCATCACTGACGGAATCTCCAAAACCGGTATATACCTTGAGGCCATCGGTTGTAAATGGCACCGTATTATATGATTTAAATGAGAAACCATGGCGTTTGGGTCGTCCTATTGGTAAGTGTGTCATAATGATGTCTGTTGTTGATGGCATATTAATCACATTAATACCAACAACAATACCACCATTGTTTTAATATGATTTTTATTAATTGATTTTCTCTATTTTTTTTTTAGGCAAAGGCAATTTTGGTGAAATATTTTTAGCATCTGATAACATCAGTATTCCGGTCACAAATGAGAATGCAAAATTTGTTGTTAAAATTGAGCCACACTCCAATGGGCCTTTATTTGTGGAAATCCATTGTCTGATGAACACTGCCAAAAAGGAGAAATGTAAGTTGATATAAAAAAATCTACAGTGTGAGATAAGAAAAAAAAAACTGCAACAAAGTCAAAATGCCATAATTTTTAAATTTTATTGAATGTAAGCAAAAATGTCGGAAATAGCATAAAATTTTAGAATAAGTTTAGATTTGTTCGAATTGTTCACATTTGGAACGAATTATGGCCTTCACGGCCAATGAAACCGTCACACGCTGCCCGAATGTTGATCTGCGGTATTTTTGGCCTATTCCCGACGAAGCGCTTGCATGAGGTGATCGACCCGGAGAAGTTGGTGGCCATTGTGCGCTGAAAATGAAGCGAGGAACTACATTTTTTAACAATTCTTGGGTGCTTAGTGCGACGGCGCTGAGTCCTGTTGGAATGTCCAGGGTCTGCGGCCAAAATGTTTGCGTGCCCAAGACTTTAAAACACAGCTCACGAGCCATTTTTCGGATACTGCGACGCGGGTTTCAATCAAGTCCATTCGTTACTTTTCGTACCATTTCTGATGTGGCCGTTTTCTTCCGTCCATTTGCTTGACCTACCAGTATCACGGTAACGAGCGATGGTACGAGACACAATAGATTTATTCACATTTAAATGCTTTCGTACGCTTGTAAATAATATAATGACCTGTCACTGGAATAATTTTAACAGCTGTTGGACGAGTGGCTTAGAAATGTCAGCAGTCTGAAGTTGGTTGTATTATTATATTTTTAGATTGTTTACTTTCTTAATCTATGGAACACCGCATTCCTGTTGCCATAATTAGTATGAGAAAGCATTGAGACCACTGTATTGTCGCCAATACCCAGGACTCTATGTTATATCTCTACTTTTATGATAACAAATCGAATGAAAACGAAAAATGGTAATGAACCATTATTCGATCCACAAACTATGAATAATAGATACCCTTTCGACTCATTTCCCAACGCGGATGAAATAAGGCTGCATTTGTTTTTAGTTGTGGAAATTTAGTTTCATATATTTCATTTTCCTAATATAATATAAAAAAAATGGTGAACTAAAAAATATTCAATAAGTAAATCACATGAAAAAAATTGCTTATTATTAGCCACTAAATAAAATGAAAACACTTTGTGTTTTCTTAACTACAATCAATATAAAACTACAAACTATAAACATACTACTATAAAAAAATATTCGATACAATGTCTGTAAATAGATAGGTAGGATGTAGAAATAAAATCACATTTCTTTCATTTTCAATTTCTAACACAAATATTTAATCCCAATTCTCTTCGGAATCATAGCTTGTGTTACTTGTATTGAGCTGGCAGTCCGTGGTTAATTGTGATAATTCCTCATCACTTCGTGGCTGCTGTTGTTGTGTTGTTATATTCCAATAATCAACATCATCATCATAATCGATGTCGTCATCACGATCATTATAATCATCCTCATCATCATATTCCGGCAAGATAATAAAATCACCCTCCACCATAATACCATTTGCCGCTAAAATATCAAATAATTCCTTTTCCGTCGCCCCCAAACTTATCGTATATTCCATAATACTTTTCCAGGGTAATTGATAGATGCAACGTTCACGATTGAAAAAACGTGGAACATGTCTCGACTGACTAATATAATAACGGGTTTCGTCAATAATTTTCTGCTCCTTTGAACGTTCATCTTTGTTGTACGGGAAATCAACGGAGTAGATTGTTCTATAACTGGCTGCAGGATTGACTGGTGGATTTTTAATAATTTCCGTACGTAAAGGTCTGTCCAGCATATCATTCCTGGCAAATATTGCCATTTGTGTTGAATATCCTATTTTACGGTTTTTGGCTGGGGGTTTACCTAAACCCATAAATGCAACAGAATAATTGGGATATTTTGTGCAAATGTCATGGGCCCATTTTTTAAATTCATCTCGTGTCCATTCGAATTTGTGATCATGATGACGAAAACCGTTTTCCAACAGGCCATTGAAGAGAACATTAAATTCACTATTTGGTGTGGAAAATATTGCCAACTTTGGTTGTACAAAACCAAATATATTTTCGGGGACCTTTTCCAGTTCTTCTTTATATAAATGCTCTATGCTTTATAAAGGAAAAAGGACATTACTATTTGATTAACATACATAACTAGTTTCATAATACCTACAGTTCTAAGGCTATAACCACATCGACATCGTACAATTCTTCAACAGCATCTGTGACACTCCCCGCTAAAATATCAACTCTTAAGGGATTTTCACGTTTTTGTAAATAATCTGATATTAAGGGTATGGCTCGTTGTTGGTGTACCTTCAATAGGTCAGCATCAATATCAACCTGCAAAAATCGAAAATCATATTTATAGAGAAGTTACAATTTTACACATTTCATATTTATTTAATTGTTCTTTTTTTGTGTTCTTTGCAGATACAAAAACGGAACCCAAATTGGAAGAACCCAAATCGGCTGCTGCAACAAATCCCATTATGTCAGAACCTCCTTCCGGTATACCCGACTATATAGCATCTGGTTCGCATTTTTTCGGTAATGCACGATATCGTTTTTTGGTTTTGCCACGTTTTGATCGCGATTTACATTCGCTAATTAAAAAGTGTCGTGTCCATCAGAAATCTGTGTTGACGCTGGCGATACACATAATAAACGTCTTAGAAAATTTGCATGACAAGGGATACTGCCACAATGATGTCAAGGCCCAAAATCTGATGATATCGAAATGCAAATATTTGGCCCAATCCTCCAGAAAGGCTGGCGTCGTGGCTGAGGCTTCAGGTTATAGCACCACCACCGCCCCAACAAATCAAAACAATGGTGGTAGTAAACACATGAAATCTTCATCGAAATACGACGATGATCATTACGAGGAGAAACAACAAACAACGGATAGTGGTAATAGTTCCGAACAAGAGGCCAACGATGACGACGATGAGGATTTTGTTGTTAAACGTAAAGTTTATAATAAAGTAATTGATGGAAATTACAATGACGATGATGATTATGAGGAGGAGGACGACGACGAGGACGAAGACGATGATGAAGATTTTGACGATGGAGCCACCACCAACAGTACCAACAGCAATAGCTTGGATAACTATCGCACTCCCGTCAATAAGAAACGTGTGCAAAAACGTAAACCACCCTCACGCAATGTTGTACAATATAGTGGCTCAAATCCGGTGCGATCATGTCGCCGGGAAAAAAGTAATCCCATGTACGATGAGATGGTTTCCACACATTATCTGCGTCCTACAAAGCGTGTTAGCTATTTGGAATTTTTCAATGAAGACAATGCAAGCAGTACCAACAGTTTAGGTGATGACATTCATAGCATATCATCTGATGATGAATCCGAAGAATTCGTACCCCCAGGTAGTGTTAAAAAATCCATAGATCGTAATAGTACACGTCGCCTTACTCGAAGGCAGGAACAGGCCAACAATAAAAAAATTGCAGCCATCAAAGCTAAGAAACACCACCACCACCAACAACAACAAGAACAGGATAAAAATAAGCCGATTAAAACAGAAGCGCTGGATACCGCCGAAGAGCCACAACGACGAGTTTTAGTTGAGGAGGAGCGTATTTTCCTCATCGACTATGGCCTGGCCTCCAAGTTCATGGACAATGGTATACATCGTCCATTTGTCATGGACCAACGTAGAGCCCATGACGGTACATTAGAGTTTACATCCCGCGATGCTCATATGGGTGCCCATTCCAGGCGCAGTGATATGGAATGTTTGGGCTACAACCTGCTATACTGGTCACAAGGCTACTTGCCGTGGAAAGAGGCGGCCACAAATCAACAGCAAGAGAAAGTACATCGGGCCAAGGAGTACCTAATGACCGATGTACGCGAAATGTTGAGGCAAATATATGGCAAACAGGTGCCCAAATATCTGGGCGAATATTTACATTTAGTGGGCCAGCTTAATTATCACGAACGTCCCGATTACAGTCGCTACAGGCGTCTTTTCGAACGGGAATACGAACAGCTGGGCTATTCTCTGGCCGAGATGCAACTACAAATGTCGGAAATTCAACGTACCTGTGTACGCGTCAAAGAAGAAATTGAAAACAAAAATGACTTCTTTGACATGAATCGAGCAAATGGGGGGGTATTCAATTTGGCCTATAGTGTTATGCATTCAGCGGTTGGAGGTACACCCTTCCATGAACGTACCCTCTCAAATCGTGTTTCACCCAAAAACTTACGTTCCAAATCTGATAAAAAGGAGGCACCGAATAAGAAAAAGTTCTCATGGACCGAGATACTGTCACAGGATCCTGATCTAATAGCCCGTGAAAGGGCGGAACGTGAATTCGATCGTGAAGAGGAACTAAGTGATGTTCAACAGGATGTGATAAGGCGTTATGAAGGCAAGCCAACCTATGCCATACGTCAGGTTCTAAACAGAATGGGTTGTGCCGTTGATGAGTATGAAAAGCAAAGGGATGAAGAGCTGATGGCGAGGCATAAAAAGAAGGGTAAACAAAACAAGGATGAGGTAAGTCAAACTTTTTTATTGGCTATTTGTGTTATTTTATTTATTGAAAAAAAAATGTTTATAGCAACAAAACGACATTGAAATGGATGAATGTGATGGCGCTGAAAATTGTGAACCCATGGATGTTGATGATGAAAGTGAAGAGGGCGAAACAGATGCTACGGAAAATTCAGAACAGCTACAATCAACGAATTCGCGGCGCCAGAAAGCCAGCGGCCGAGTACGCAGCAACACCACCAGTACTAAAAGAACAAAGGCATCCCGAAAATTAATACTGAAAACGCCAAATAGTTTGCAATCGTCGGAAACGGCCTCAGACGCAACAAAAACGGGGAAAAGAACAACGCGTAAAAAATATGCCAGCAGCAGCAAGGTGAAATTAATGTCTCCAACAAATTCTACACCCGTATCATCAATAGCAGCCACAACGGAGACGACTACTTCAAAGACGTCCACCAAGTCAGCGGCAAAGTCAACAACTAAACGTGGCAGTGCCATGACCAAAAGCAGTCGCAAAACTGCTCCAGCAGCTGCTTCTGCCGCTGGTGAGGTAGAACAACACGAACAATCTTCGAATACAAAGCGGGAACGTCGCACCAGGCGGTGTCTACTCAAGACTGATCAAGATGGTCTATTAGATGATGATTCGAATTCCAATTACACACCGGAGGGTTATATGTGGAAGGGGGGTGGTGGCAATCACACAGAAAGTGTTTACACACGTAATTGTCGAAAATGATTTATTCAATGGAAGAAAAGTAAACAAGGATATTTCCACAATAAATCATCATCAGCACTAGCAGTGATGTCCTTAATTTCCAAATCCGTTAGACATTGTTCGAAACATATTTTTTGTTTTTAATTATAATTTATAAAATATTTCCATATATGATTTTGGAAAATAGATTTATTTTGCGGTTAACTATTGGAAGTTAAGAAGTATTGTGCAGGATTTGCCCCCATTTTTAAGTTTTATTAAATGAACAAAAATATATTACAAAACAAATTAAATATATATAAAAAGAAAAAATAGAAAACAAAAAACATTTGTTAACGTAAGTTCGTCGCGTATACAGTAACTAATGAGAACAACAACCACAAAAACAAATTACAGAAAAAGTATTAAGTATATTTAGAAGCTAATTACTATGCTTTATAAATATGCGAAATAATTTCGTTATAATAAAAACAAAATAATGAATGTATTTTAAATTCAGAAATAATAAGAAGTAAAAAACCCAAGTAAAACAACATTGCTTTACTCTCAATAAGTATGATGATGCTCTTAAGAAAAAAACAAACAGAAAAAAACCATACCATAATATGGCATGTATTCAAATAAAAAAACAAAATGAATAACTTTAATTTTCAATACAAGATATGAAAAAAAAATATTCAATAATAAAAATATACAACTAGTTAATAAAACTTCTAAAATAAAACAAAAAAACACTTAGTAAATATATAGAATAAAAAAACAAACACATTCATACAATGACATTGAATCTTATTGAACTACACACACACACACACACATTTAAAACTCACATAAAAAATAATAATTATCAAACAGAAACGGAAAGTGAATTATAAATTAAATGAAAACTAAAAATTGCCACATTAAAAAATGAATTTTATGTTTGCTATATATGAAATTGTATTTATTAATTTTTGTCTTATATAACAAAAAATCACATTTGTTTTGTTTTTATTTTTTTTACTATTACCAATATTGAATTCAATTCATAACAATTATTATTATATTTAAAAACAAATTAGTCAAATCAAAATGAATATTCATGCAAGAAGAAAGAGAAAACAAAATAAACCCGCCCCCTATAACTGATTTTCCTTCCTCCCATCCTTCACTATTTTCACAAGATTTTACTGTGCCGCATAAAAATCACAAACCACCAATCCCCATATTTTTCATTCAATCATATATTATTATTATTATTTTTGTTAAGCTCTTATGTTAATTTTATTATTTTTTAAACATTTTTTTATCCCTTGTGTCAGTTATTAGTAATATTATATAATACATATGAAATAATAATTTTTATTTTTTTAATATCACGTTTTTCTTTTTATCCCTATTTCTTTGTGGATTATTTGTGTTTAAGTAGTATTAGAGTTGTATCTATTTGAAAATAATGATAATCGTATAAGAATACAAAAACAAATATAAATTAAAAAAAAAAACATAATAAAAAAATCATTAAATTAGGCTATACAGAAGAAACACTGTCTCTCGTAAGCAAAAACAAATTATCTTTAAAATACAAGAAAAGAAAATCCTTGAAACCACAAAATCAAATAAAAAAATATATTAAAATGTAAAACAGAAAACGAGTTTATTTTTAAGGTAGTAGCAAACGTTGGCATGCAGTGGAGAAATTTGCAAACATAAAAATAAGTTGCAACGGGTTGTGTACAAATGACGAGTGTCAGAACTTCTAGTGTCATTAAGGCATCCAAGATGTCAATAGCGAACTCCAAGGCCATAAACGGCAATAAATTTCCTAAACCAATATCCTCCAACAATTTCAAAAAGTTAGAGATATTTCTTCGAGGTATGGGGGTGGGAACTGCATCTCTCCAAAACTTCAGCAATAGACAGATAATCAGCCTTATTCTGGATATTGGCTGGGAGATATCTCGCACATACAAAAATTTTCGCTTTCACATTCTCGCCTCATTCTGAATGAATAGGGAGACGCAAAAAATGCGAGATGCGGATTCGAGTTTTCGAAAATGGTGGTTGAAAAAAAGATTCGTGTTGCCATATTATAATTTAAGTTGTAATGTGTGTTGCCATATTGTAATTAAAGTTGTAATGTGTGTTGCCCCATTGTAATTTAATTGTGTAATATTTTTCAATATTTTATTTATTGATTATTTTATTAAAAATTGTTACTTGTTATTGTGGTTTAAACTTTATAACAATATAAATGTGAAATATCAAGAATCCGCTTTATAAATGCTTTGTAATTAAAAGAAAATTAATTAAAGTTTGAAAATATGGCAACCTACAATATGACATGTGAAACTGCTGTTCATTGTTTTGATGCATTTTGGTACAACAACTACAATAGATTACAAATAAAAGAAAATTTTTTTTATGATGGGAAAAACACAGGCACATAATTGTGTGCCTTTTTATTTAATTTCGATATTTTATCTCTCCAAATTCTTAAAGTGGCCTGTTATGCTCCTACTCCTTTATTTCTTCCTTCAAATAATGCAAACGATAATTTTGAAAAAAAAATATTTTTTTTTTTGTTTCATAATTTTTATTTAAGGTTTTCACTGTTAAGCGGCTCATTAGGGAAATTTTGTTTTTCTATAATTTTTTTCTTGAGATACAGATCCTCACCCAAAATATCTGTTTTTCGCCTCCAAAATGCATCAAACTCGACTTAAATATTCATTATTACCTTTATACATTCCTTGGCAATATTTGGTTCAGTATGCATCATTATCAGTAGGATTTCCAAAGGCATTTTATTTGCTGTTTTCCAGATAAATATTTGCTTACTATCATTTATAATATTCTAAATCGTCATAGAATAAGTATTGTGTTAATATTTTTCGTAAAAATATTTATTACTTATGTTTTTGTAGTCAACTCACTTTGAATTTATTAGCGAAAAAATTCGCACAAAATTTCATCTCATTCTCCTACTCCCTGTAATCCAGAATACATAATTTTTCCCCAAAGCGGATTTTTTCGCTTTCGAACTTCATTCAGAATAAGGCGAAAGCGAGAATGCGAAAAAATTCACACAAAAATGTTGTTCAGAATAAGACGAAGGGGAAGAGCGAGTAAATTCACGTGGAATTGACATCCAGAATAAGGCTGAATATTCTCAAAGATTTTTTATAAACATTCATCTTCCCAAAGGCCCTGTATATTATTCGCAGATTTTGAAAAACACGAGTCTTTAGCAAGGATGTAGCGATTAATGCTAAATGGATGAAAGTCTACCGAAATTTTCTACAGATAGAACTTCTTCCGGGAGCGCAATCTAAAATTATCCACTGCAAAGTCTACTGTGTCACTTTTCACTTTCTGGACTCGAGAAGTCAATCTAGAAATTGACATTTCCGTTGAAGGTAGGCGCATCCCCACCGTCCACAATCCGAAAATCTTTGGGGTGGTCTTCAATAACCTCCTTCATTTCTCCCCGCATTCCAATTACATCAACCAGAAGCTGAAATCTATGAATAAAGTTCTAAAAGCATTGGCTGGCACCTCCTGGGGCCATCCTAAAATATGCTGCACCAGTCTTGACTTCTTTCCTTAGTGACACACAATGGATATCCTTGCAAACAACCCAAACTAATGCACTCCGAATTACAACCGGCTGTGTCCAGATGACGAACGTCGATCACCTCAATGAGGAGACCAGAATGCTGTCAGTTAAAATACAGCAATGTTCTCAACTCGTATCGAGAACGCATTGTCCCCGGAACCATAAACAGGTGTCCCTCATGCCAGCAAAGCCCTTACAAACCATCTATTCAATTGTCCGTCCGAGCCTACAAGTCTATTGCCTATAGACTTAAGGACGAAGAATGATTAAAATACGCTCTTTATCACGAACGCTCACGGCGAGAATTCGAATGTTTTTCAATTTATCGCGATTGATAAAGTTACAATGAGAATGTTCGCATTGTACGAAAAATTCACGAACGATAAACTTTCGCTGCAAACGTCGTCGATTCGTTCTTTCGCGAGCATTTGTTGCTGAAGAACAATCTTTTGAAAAACTCAAAAAACAAAATATTATAGCGGGGTTTTACACTGTTGGTGATTGGGATTGGTGACGAGAGTTTTTCTCTCTCTCGTTGGTAAATTAAGAGTAATTTTTGCGCACCCTGCTAATGGGTAAAGCCAATAGAGGTGGCACAATTTCTCCGGCTACCCTTTTCAAATCCGATTTCATAATAATTAATATATTTTCCTTCTTCTGTTTTTTTATATCATTTCCTGGAAAGAACTTTCATCAACAGCCAACCTGTTACAAAAACAACAGATAGAACTTTCACAAGACGTTCATTTAAAGAACACGGGGCTCTATGGTTAGGTTTTTACTCACTTAGGTGGCTTGCGACAGAAAGGTTGTCCATAGGCCGAGCTTAAAAAAGATTTATGGTGCGCATGTCATCCAATTTCCGAGATGTTGTCATCTACTTCATCTTTCCATCGGACTAGTGGCCTTCCCCTCCTGCGTGAATCATCACTTAGCTCGCTTTTATATGCCTTTTGAGTGGGGTTATCCTCATCCATTCTCACAACATGGCCTAGCCAACTCGATCCGTCTATATCGATGTCCGAGAATATATGGTATAGCTCATGGTTCATTCGACGGCGATATTCTCGTCGACGCAGATTGGAGCATTTTCCTCTCAAACACTCCAAGAGCTGTCTCATCTGCTTGCGCAAGTACCCATGCTTCAGATCCATACAACAGCACGGGTAATATCAGCGTCTTGTAGAGCGTGAGTTTTGTCTAGCGAGAGGTGGCCTTGCTTTTGAGTTGCCTACTCAGATCATAGTAGCGTCTGTTGACCAACACTATTCTCCTCAGGATTTCAAAGCTTATTATTATTAGTTTTTTTTATGGCGATACCGAGGTAGTTCTAAAGTTCCACAGTTGGTCCAAGTCCACTGGACGTTTTGCGCGTTCATACCATCGGCTTGGTCGCCATTTACTGCCAGTCCCACTTTGACAG